ATATTTAAATATATATCTTGAATCGACGAACACTCTCAAAGGTAAATGAGTATGAGTCGTTACCAACATCACTCATTCATTCATCATCCAACAAGATGTAACGCGAAGGTTGCGGAGATTGATAATATATGATGGTGGTGAAAGATGTGTTGTGGAGTGAGTATGAAGTCTGAGTTCGATCAGTCTCATGCCGATGGTAACTAGACGGACGGACGATGGATTGGTTGTCGATTATTGGACGATATAATAATATTATATTATATTATATATTTACCCATACCACATATTCAATCACTATTGCCATCCTTCCATCCATCAATCAATCGATCAATCAATCCGGTCAATATCCTTCTTCCAATTCATACATTAAAAAAAAGTGATGGTGATAATTAAATGGTACAACCTACATCTACACTTGATTGACCATGGTCAACAATTGTCGTTGACGACTACTTGACGGTCATATGAATGTCTGGAAATGTATACACTCTTTAAAGAGTGTCATCGCTATGCATAGCGATATAATGTAATGTAAAGTGTAATGTAATGTGGAACGACATTCCAGACTTGATGGATGGATGGATGGATGGAATGGACAGATAATCAATCACACACACACAACACAAAGACATAAGTTAATTAAAATAAAATGATTGTGAGTGAGTGAGTGTCAACTGTTGTGAAGATGTTGGGAAGTAGCGTGAGTGAGTGTGAGTGGGTGTGATGAAGATGTTTGCTGCAGCTTTTGGAAGCGTGTGGTTGTGAGTTGAGTTGAGATACAAGTCGTCTACAGCAACAACAACAACGATGAGAAGTCGCGGCAACAACAGCAACACAGTAGTAATGAGTAATGAGTAATGAGTAGCGATAACATGAATTACCACTGTAGTTGTTTGTGTAGTGTTGTTCATCATGCATTGGGAATGAATGAATGAATGATAGGCTGAGCATGTATTTCCCTGGTTTCTTACATTAATGTTTGGTCGCAAGCTAGATCTAAATAATAATCTGAATGATATTATAAATTGATTGATTAATTAAGTAATGTTGTATGTGTATTTACAAGATCTAGAAATTGAAGTTGAATTGTTATTAACGATATATTTAATTAATTAATTATTTGATTATGTGTATGTATGTATTGTAGCGTGTGTTTTGAAATAATGAATGAATGAATGAAAGAAAGAGAGAATTGAATTAACTCGTGTTGACACTTTGATTCACCCTTTCATTATTATTCTCCCATTCTCTTTCTCTCTCTTTCTTTGTCTTTCTGTCTCCCAATCACACACACAAACATCGCACAACAACAAACACACACATTCACATTCATATTCACACACAGATCATATGCAAGTGAGAGTAGGGCTCTTGATTTTGTTATTAAAATTTTAATAAGAAAGGCAATGATGGATGAAAGGTTCTGTTACCTCACGCTTGAATGCACGAGATACCACCCAGATCATGTACAGGACAGGGGGTGAAAATTCCTGAATGAATGGAATGGAATGGGGGTGACAAAAGACCAGGATACCCATCAATCTTCTGACTCATGTTGAATGCCATAATCATTCATTGTTTTGCATTAATGAAGATAAAAACAAAGTTGGGCAGTGTGGTGGATGGTGAATAAACAATGGGGTTTTGTTTTGTTTTTGTGTTTGTTTGAAGATGGATTGATGGTTGGGTATCCTCTAAAGTTCGTTTTCAACAATTGCATTGGAAGATTCATTTAATCAACGAAGATGGGATGATCATGGGTAGCTTTGAGTGTGAGAGTGATTGATCATTAATTGATCGAGACCGTCAAACCAAATGGTAAACATTGTTATTTGTAGCAAAGTATTTTATGTATTATATATATTATAAGTCGCATGATATGGACAATGAATCACTGTTGCCTCAATGGTCCAGTGTTTGGTTGGGTGTTGGATTTAGATATTGTCGTTGGGTGATGGGATGAGATAGTGAGGTGGAATGGATGACGACACACTTTAAAGTGGCAGAACAAAGTTGTCCTCCTTGGTCTTCTCCTCATCATCGGTGGAAGCTGTTAGAGAGGCCAGTGGATCGGCACCAAACAGGGATGAGAAGTCTTGCTTGGGCTTGCTGACGGTGGGCGATGATTTGAATCCAAATGAGTCGCTGCCAAACAGTGAGTCTGAGTTGAAGGTCGAGGCCTTGGGCTCGCTGCTCTTGGTCGACGATGAGCTGGCAAAGAGATCTGAGGACTCGGACGAACCGCCAAACAGCGAGTCGTCAGAGAAGAAGTCCTTCTTGGGTGTGGTTGTGGCTGTGCTTGGTGTGGTGCTGGCGAATGGATCGTCAAATGGCGATGCGCCAGAGACGGCCGATGTCTTCTTTGGCTCGTCCATGCTGAATGGGCTTGAATCCTCAAAGTCAAAGAAAGAGGACTTCTTTGGAGTTGGCTTGGCTGGTTCCTCAACGACTGGAGCTGGAGTTGGGGCTGGGGCTGGGGTCTCCTCGACGGCTGGAGCTGGAGTTGGGACCTCCTCAACCTCTGGCTCTGGCACGGGTGGTGGTGCCTGTGTCTCCTCCTCATACTCAATCTCGTAGGCTTCCTCATCAGTCTCGAGTCCTGGTGGGGATGATGTTGGGATCTTCTCGAAAGAGTCGTCCGATGCGTCGGACTCGTGCTTGGTGGCGGCAGTCGATGAGGTGACGGATGGTGTTGGCTCAACCTCTGCCTCATCAATCTCTGGAACGGCAGGTGTCTTGATCTCCTCCTCCTCCTCATCAATCTCTGGAACTGCGACTGGTGTCTTGACCTCATCCTCTGGGATGGGTGGTGGGATGGCTGGCTCCTCCTCAACGACAACCTCGTCCTCTACATCGTCATCATCATCGTCATCATCGTCATTCTCCTCAGCTGGCTTAACATCTGGAGTTGATTCGGTGACTGGCTCGGCGGCTGGGGCGGACTCAACGACTGGCTCGACAACTGGCTCGACAATAGCAACTGGCTCGACGGTTGGCTCGACGGCTGGCTCGACAACAGCGACTGGCTCGACAACAGGCTCGACAATAGCAACTGGCTCGGCGACAGCTGGAGCGGAGGTCTCGACGACTGGCTCAGCAGCGGGCTCAGATTGCTCCTCCTTCTCTATTTGAGCAAGCTCGGCCTCAATCTCCTTGTTGAGTGCCTCATCATCAATGTCCACATCATCGTCGTCATCGTCATCACCATCCATATCAACGCTTGAGGGCTCAACTGGCTTTGGTGCCTCAGTGACGGTGGTAGTGGTTGTAGATGGGGTAGTCTCCTCAACGACAGGGGCTGAGACTGGAGCTGGTGTTGGCTCTGGGACTGACTGATCTTCAGTCTCATCCTCGACTTCCTCCTCCTCCTCTGCCTCCTCGGCTTCGACCTCCTCTTCTTCCTCCTCTTGTGCCTTCTCCTCTTGCTTTGATTGAAGGAAATCGACAGTGGTTCTCTTGATGACACCCTTGAATGTGCTAAGGATGTCGTCGGTGCTGTATGTCTCGTCCTCCTCTAGCTCCTCTGCAATGCCAACGTAGACCTTCTGCATCAATCCCTTGACCTCAGCGGTAATGTCAGCCTTGGCGGCGGGGGCGGCGGCTGCTGCGGGTGCGGCAACTACTACGGGTGGCTTGGCCTTCTCATCCTCCAACTGCTTGTTGACATCCTTGAGCTTCAGAGCAGTCTCCTTGTTCTCCTTGATCGAGGTCTCGAGTTTCTTGTAGATCTCCTCCTTCTCAACGACGAGCTTCTCAATTGCGTCGTTGGCATTGTTGCTGCTGTTCATTCCCTCGTTGAAGCCCTTCTCGTAGGACTTGTGCACGTTGGCCTTCTCCTCGTCCAGCTGTTGTGCGACTGACTCCATTGAAGCCTTGAGGTTGTCGAGCTCGCGCTTCAGACCAGAGACCTGCGAGCGCTCGGTGGCAACCAGCAGCTCCGAGGCGGTGATCTCCTCGTTCTTCTTTGAAATCTGCAGGTTGAACTGCTCCTCGACCTCCTTCTTGGCGTTCTCGATCAGAGTGCTGACTGAGCCCATGGCATTGCGCTCCTGCTCGAGAGCGTCCTTGGCGGCGGTGACCTCGACGCCCAGAGCAGCGATCTTCTCCTCGAAGCGCTTCTTCTGGCGCAGGATGTCGACCTTGAGCTTCTTGACCAGCTCCTCGTGAGTCTTCTCGGCCTGCTGCAGTGAGTCCTGGGCATCCTTGAGCTCGTCCTCGAGTGTGCCAATGCGCTCGTTGTCTGTCTTGCGCAGGTTCTTCTCGTTGAGCAACATCTTGTTGAGGGCACGCACCTTGGCGGCAGTCTCCTTCTCGGCGGTTCTGGAAGCCTCGTGGTCGGCGACGGTCTTGGCAATCTCGTCGCGCTGAGCCTGCAGCTCCTCGTGGACGGCACCATACTCGCGCTTCATTGTGTTGATCTGGCTCAGGGCCTTGTTGAGCTGGATTTGCTTCTCGGCCATCTCCTCCTCGAGTGCCGACTTCTCCTTCTGCAACTGGACGACCTGCTTGCGCGCCAGCGACACGTTGTCGCTGTATGCGTCGTTTCTCGACTCGATAATCTTGGTGTTCTCCTCGAGGAACTGCTCGTTCTTCTTGTGCAGCATGGCGATGCTCTCCTTGTACTGAGAGAGCTTGGCCTCCTTGTCGACGTTGTCCTTGACCAACTTCTCGTTGTCCTCGACGATCTTGTAGAGCGACTGGACCAACAGCAGACCAGAGATGGCAATGTCACCCTGGACGATGGGAGTCTTCAGTGTCTCGAACTTGGCGCTGACCTCATCGAGCTTGCGATCAAAGTGGGCAAGGCTATTCTTGAGGTCGTTCTTGAATTGCTTCTCCTCGACGAGCATCTGAACAGTCTCGGCGGTGGCGGGGGCTGGTGCAGCAGCGACTGGTGCTGGGGCGGGAGCAGGGGCTGGTGCTGGAGCTGGTGCTGGAGCTGGGGCGACTGGTGCAGGTGGTGCAACATGGATGATCTGTGGCTGAGGTGCGCCTTGGAGCAGTGGCACGAGTGCGCCTTGGTGGGGCACGATGGCACCTGGTGGATATAAGCCGGGTTGGCCACCCATTGACAGTATCTGCGAGGACATCTGTGGGTACATTGGGTTGAAGCCCTGGTTGAAGCCCGGGTTGAATGGTCCATTGTTAAAGTTACCGGCGCCAAAGTTGTTGTTGCCAAAGTTGTTGCCGCCAAAGTTGCCATTGTTACCAAAGTTGTTGTTGTTGTTGTTGCCAAAGTTACCTTGGTTGTTGTTGTTGCCAAAGTTGTTGTTGTTGTTGTTGTTGAAGTTGTTACCTTGGTTGTTGTTATTGTTGTTGAAGTTGTTGTTGTTGTTGTTACCCTGGTTGTTGTTGTTGTTGTTGTTCTGGTTGTTGTTGTTGTTGTTACCCTGGTTGTTGTTGTTGCTGTTGTTGTTGCCGCTGTTACCATGGCTATCTGAACGACTCCTCTGACTTGAGGATTGTCTCGATGATGTTGACGACTGGCTGTCAGAGTGCTCATTGTCAGATGGTGGTGGGGAGGTGAATCCAGTTGGCTTGCCCAGCTTGGCGACACGCTGCATTAGTGAAGCCTTCTCCGAGGGCGATGGCGAGCTCTCAAAGAGTGTGGTGGGGAGGTTCTGCTGTGGCACGGCACCCTGACCGCTGAGCGATGGCAGTGCTGGCTCCTCAGCTGCTCCCTCCTTCTTCTTTGAACCCATGACCTCAACGTCAAAGATGAGGTTTGAGTTGGGTGGGATGGACGACTGGCCGGCCTTGCCGTAGGCCAGCTCTGATGGGATGACCAGGATACGCTTGACGCCCTTCTTCATGCCAACGACACCAATGTCCCAACCCTTGATGACCTTGCCCTCGCCCAGGACGAACCTGAGGGGTGTGGCCGCAGCGGTGTTGGTGTCAAACATCGAGCCGACACGCTGGTTGCTGTCGAGCCATCCAGTGTACTTGATCGAGACACGGTCTCCGCTCTGGACGCCTTTGCCCTTCACGCCGGCGGGTGCAGGGCCGAGGTCCATCTCAACAACTGCCTGGTAGTTACCACTTGCACACTTGGCAATGGCAATGTGAGTAGCAAACTTGATCGAGTCCTCCTTAGTATTGAATGACATTGACCAGTTCTGTCCCTGATCAACAAAGTTACCATAAAGTTCATTGACCTAGTATTGTATATCATTGATTGATTGATTGATTGATTAGTCCATTGGACTGATGATCATGTGACACGGGTCGACAACTTACAGTGTAGTTGAATGCTGGTGTGATTGTGGCAGTGACTATTGATGCTCTGTTGTTGTCATAGATCAACAGCTGATACTTTCCATTTGGTCTGTAGGAGACGATCGCTGAGGAGTAGTTACCAACTGTGACATACTTGTCTCCTGCTTGATCACTATGATATATTATATATGTTTGTTGTTAGTACTACTCATACATCAGATCAATCAATCATACTCCATGTCAACTCTACTCACTATTTGAACAGATGGATGGCGGCACCTAGAATGATGTCTTGCTTCTGCTGCGCAGATGCGCCCGCGGCCTGTGCCTTTGAGCTATATTGCAACGACTGGTTTCCCGACATGTTGTTGCTGTCCTTGAATAATGATCCGAGTTTCTGCGAGCTAGCGTTATTGGTGTTGCTGTATTCCTCTTGGTCTGAGTACATATATATTATTATTATTATATATAATTACAACAACAAACAACTAGTTCAAGATATATAATATTATATGATATAGATACAAGTAATAATAATAGAGATACAAAGATGTTGGTTGAATGTAAATGAATGTGATAGACACAAGCTCATTCATTCATTCTCAGCTCAACACAACACTAACAATATCTCAATTTTTGCAAATTTTGACTTTGACGTGATGAGTGTGAGTGCTTGGGCTTGAGGACTTGGGGCCGTTTGAAGCTTCGTTCGAATCCTCTGCACAACTTTATGAAAGATCGATTGTTGTTATTGTTGTGTTGTGTGTTGTTGTCACTGGCTGGGGGGAATGTCAGTTATCCTGATTTAGTAGTGTGATCAGGAAAACGACATTGAATAAGTACTAAGTTGTAATATTTGATTGAATCAGTGATTGAATGATTCATTGATTGTATGATTGATTGAATGAACTTATACATATTTATTTAGAAGATGATGACTCGATTGATGGACGATATTGGAGAGTGTAGTCGATACGAACTTTGAGCTCTTGGGCTGCGGCTACAGGCCAGAATGGGTTGCGAAGGAATGCTCGACACATTACGATGAGGTCGGCTTTGTCATCATCTAGGACACTGTTGGCCTCGGTTGGTGTGTTGATGCTTCCAACGGCACTGGTGGCAATGGCTGGGTATGCCTTGCGAATGCGATCAGAGAATGGCACTTGGTAGAGTGGCGCCTTGGTCACCTTTTGCTCGGAGCTGTTGCCGCCGGTCGAGCAATCAATGATGTCGACACCTGCTGCATGCAATAATGGTGCCAATCTGATGACCTCGTCAATGTCGAAGCCACCCTCGACCCACTCAGTGCACGACAGTCTGATGGCCAAAGGCTTCTCGGCAGGCCACACCTCGCGAATGGCGGCCACGATCTCCAGGACAAACTTGGTGCGACCTTCGAATGAGCCACCATACTCGTCGGTTCTGTGGTTGGACAGTGGCGACAGGAATTGATTGATCAAGTATCCATGTGCGCCATGGATCATCAGGTAGTCAATGCCAACCTTGTCGGCGCGGATTGCTGCCTCCTTGAATGCTTGGACTACCTCCTGGATGCCCTCCTTAGTCAAAGCTGTTGGTACCTTTGACCTCTTGTCCCATTGAATTGCACTTGGAGCAACAATATCAAATCCTCCCTCATCATTCTCAACTCTTCCTCTTTTGTCCTCCAAGAATATCTCAACAGTGCTACCCTTGCGTCCACTATGTCCAAGTTGTAGGCCGACCTTCTAATCAGTGGGAGAAGTTGGGAGGAGTGGATGTGAGTGGTGGACATTTCTTAATTTATGGGATGGAATGATTCCATGAATGATTACTTACTGCATTGTATTTATGAATAAAGTCAGTTATCCTCTTCATTGGATATATTTGATCATCATTCCAAAGTCCAGCATCCTTTGGTGAGATCCTACCCTCTGGCAACACAGCAGTTGACTCCAAGATGATCAATCCAGCACCACCCTTGGCAAGTCCTCCATAATGTACCAAATGCCAATCATCCATTAATCCATCTATTGATGAATATTGACAACTATTAATTAAATATTATTAGTATTCATTCAACCAATGATATATATATTATACTTACGTTGGAGATACAACAATCCTATTCTTTAACTCCATCTGGCGTAACTTGTAAGGAGTAAACAACTTTGGAACAGTCTTGATATTTATATTTTGATCCGAAGGTATATAAATTCCAGGACCTTTATAATCACTTGGGAGTTCCCATTTATGTTGGTACTCCTTAATAATATTGTTATTTGATTGAATGGTCATTGTTATAATTATATTTATAATTTGATTGTTTGATTGATTGATTGAATTTAATGTGAAGATATTGAATCTAAAGACCTGGATAGTATTGGTATTTATACCAAAGATTGATTGGATATTTACAAAGAATAATTATATTCTTTAGAGGTTGACCTTTCTGAAGTGTTGTTCTCTAATATATATAATTGTGTAGAGTCAGAGTCTAATTTTGTTCTTTTGATCAAGCAATTGCAGAATGACCAAACTCACTCTTCGTTTATCTAAAAACAACCAAACCACACACAACTTGTTCTGTTCTTTTCACAAACTTGGTGGTACTTCGCGAATACCGAGCCAGACATGTTCGGGTACCCCCTCATTCAGTCCTTTGCCAAAGAATAGTTATTGTCCAATCACACATTCAATGCTTCTAAAGAAGCACTATTATACTACGTAGTTCATCTATGAATTGACATCAAGTAATAGTTTGTCCAAAATGGGTTGACATGACATGAGATGACATGAGATGACATGACTTACTTGTCGGGTCACGCGCCGTGTCCCCGGTTGTGTGGACCTCACAATGGGTCCGACAATGACTATGATGGATGTATGTGCATGACCAACATTGGCCATACTTGTGACCTGTTATTATATGATTGTTATCGATGATGATTGATTGATTATTATAATATCCCTCAACTTAAGAGTCCGAGCACCAGGGAAAGTCCAGGGCTGCTCGCACTCTAGTCTAGAGGACTTGGTGGACCAGGGAGAGTCTTCTTGATTTTGACAGACTCAGTCTTGAGTTGTCCACATGCCGCTAGGATGTCACGACCACGTGGTTGGCGAACTGTAACTTTGAGTCCGGCGCGATCGAGTACAGCCGCAAACCTCTTGATCTGTTCGGTCGTGCTGCATTGATAGGGTGCGCCTGGCCAGCTATTGAACGGTATCAGATTTACAAGTGACGGGAACGTGCTTATCAGCTTCGCAAGCTGGATGGCGTCTTCATCAGAGTCGTTGACGCCTCGCAGCATCACGTACTCGATGGTGATCTTGTTGGTGTTGAGTGTGGAGAAGTCGCGACACGCCTGCATCAGCTCCTCGATGGGCCACTGCTGGTTGATGGGCACGATCTCTGAGCGTGTCTTGTTGTTGGATGCGTGCAAAGAGATGGCCAGACCGATGCCGGGGAAGTCCTGGCCCAGCCGGCTGATCAGAGGCACGACACCCGACGTCGACACGGTGATGCGACTCTTTGACAGCGACAGTCCGGACGGGTCGGTCAGGATACGTAGCGCCGCCGACACGTTGCGGTAGTTGTAGAGCGGCTCACCCTGACCCATAAACACAACGTTTGACAATAGTCGCTTCTCTGTCGTGTGGCCAAAGTCGTTCATGAGTGAGCGGGCCATCATGACCTGGCCGACTATCTCGCCAGCTGTCAGGTTGCGCACCAACTTCTGTGTGCCAGTGAAGCAGAATGTGCAGCCAAATGTGCAACCGACCTGTGACGACACGCATAGTGTACCGCGACGAGCTTCGGGTATGAACACGGACTCGACCTCTTGTCCAGCGTATCCGATAAGCATCTTGCGTGTGCCGTCCACTGACAATTGATCCTTCTCAACCGTGCCATAATCGATGTGATAATGCTTGTTCAAAGTGTCGCGCTGTACATTGCTGAGATTTGAGAAGTTGTCAAATGTGCGCTGACCCTTATTATACAGCCAACTCCATACTTGATTAACTCTATATGGTTGGAACTGATGATTCTCTGTCAACTGTCTATTAAGTTCTTCTTTTGATATGCCGACCATGTTCTTGGTATCTTTTGTTTTCGTGTCTGTTGCCGTTTCCGTAGCCGTTGCCGTTGTGGTAGTGGAAGCGGCAACGGCAGCAGTTGTGGAGAATGATGAACAACCACTATATAGTAATCTTGAGCAGTATCTTATCATTGCTCATCTGTATCTGTATCTGTATATATATATATATCTTTCGTTCGTTTTATGACATTATGAAGGGTCCACAAAGTTATTAAAATTAATTTTAGAAGCCCCTTCTGGACCTTCAAGGTCCATCTCTCGACAGTCCTTCAACTTGACATCATTATTATCATTTAAACAAACTAATAATAGATCTAAAGAATGAATGGATGGACTCAACTATCATAAGCTCTATATATCACAGTTGTTGAAGGCAACTGCACCAAAGGACCCTTTAGACGAGGCCTCACCATTCTTGTATGAATCATTAAAGTTCAAAGGCGTTTGGATACAAGGTCATGTACAGCTGATTGATGATGAAGACAATGTTGATGACAATGACAATGATGACATTGACAAGGAAGTAGGTGATGATGGTCCAGAAGGACTCGTAAGGTTCTTGATCAATGATGGCACTGGTGACATTATGGTCGTGAAGAACCCTTCAATCCTATCGATCGACTTAACAAATGGTCAATACATACTAGTTGCTGGTATGTATCCATCGGACGAGCAATCAAACGATCATTACCTAAAACTATCACTATGCTATGTAGGTCTATTGGTATCATTCGTGGATGGTGATGGTCAGGAGGACAGGTTCATAATAGTTCAAAAGATGGCGGATCAGAATAAGAATGCAAAGCAAAGAGAGAGGATATGGCACTTGGAGATAGCTCATATTCAATCGCGAGTATATCATATCACTGTGCCTACAGAGTCGCCAGATATCAAGCAAGAGATTACAACGAAGCAGGAGGTGGAGATGGACACTGACAAAGTCAACTACAATGATTATGACTTTACGATTGATGATAATAAGGACAACTACAACAACAAGATTGTTATCGATGACAATGATGATGACACTTCATTGATCAAGTCGTCAGATTTGAAGGATATAGAATTCGATGGCATGGAGTTTGAATCACAGTCAACGATCAGAAAGACAACAACCTCAACATCAACGGCATCAATGATAACAACAACAATGACAACAAAGATTAAGGATGAAATGGTATCAAGTGTGGCAAGTGCCACTGGCAAGAACAGTCGTGATTCCAGTCAACAAGAGATAGTGGACATTGACGATGAATGGTAATAAAAAAGGACCGATTATGTATATACATGGACAATAGAATGGAATGGAAGAGGACGGTTCAATCTAGTCTGAGATTGGCTGTGCATAGAGTGATGGATCACGTCTTGGAGGTGAATGATTTCCATTCGTTTTGTTGTTGTTGTTGCTGTTGTTTGTCTTCTTTGTGTTGGAATTTGGCACTGAAGGCAACGAGGCAGTAGTTGTTTTCGGCTTGTATGTTTGAGGCTTGACGGTATTCAATTTAACTTTGGAGTATGATCCCATCTTCAACATCAACCAACTACTGCTAGGCTTTAGCATTCTAAAGTATATAAAGTTGATCACTGGTAGATTCCTAAGTACGCTCTCAATTTCCAGGTGTTCTTCAAACTAGATAGATCAGAGGGTCAGCTTAAGTCCATTCTCTTATCCATCATCCTTATATTAACCATTCCTTACTCTTGTTATCTTGTTGTCTTGATTCTTATGAATGACAAGGATCATTCGCATATGTATTGGAAGCCATGGAAGGATCGCAAATGTGGCCAGGAGGTTGGTGTCTATGTGTAGAGTATGTGGAGAGGCAGTCTCTTTGTATCCTTCCACTTTAAGATCCTTTAGGTAAATGGATATTGCCTTGAACACTTCTATTACATTATCCTTGCCAACTGTGTCGAATCCTGGTCCACCAAAGTAACATTCTTCGGCAAAGTGATCATCAATATAATTCAAGTCAGGATCCGTGCGGTAAAGTAAGTTAAGTATTTCCTTTGCATCCACCTTCATGATTGATATTATCTCTAAGTTATTAGTTATTATATATATATCTTATTATTGGATAATTGATTGAATGATTGTCTACTGTACTGACTAATGTCGCTGTGGATCACAAATACTTTAACAACTTACGCTGTATTTATAGACTGTTGTGAGGATCAATCAAACATAGCCATCATGCCAGTCATCTCATCCAATCATGATAAACATGCCAACTAATAAACAAACATACTAACTAACCAGTCAGAGAAGGGACCGTCCATTGCCAAACACACTCTCCGCACTCACGCTCCACTCCACTCTCTCGCTTGACAAAGTGGCGCGATGGAGATTGATTGATTGATTGGCATGCATGGTTAGATGAGTGAGTGAGTATTGCCAATGAATTTAATGGTTAATGTTGTTGTTGATGCTATTGCTGTTGACTTACCCTATCATATGTATTGTTGGATGGCTTCGCGATTTGAGTTGCCACTGTCCTCCAATCAATCACTATTACGATGGATGGTTGCATAAAGTGTAGAGATCATGTTTATAATTGGCCACACACTACATACTACCTACCCTCACTCATCTACCTTCACTTCATCTCACTGACTCCACTGCCACCCTTAGATGTACTAACATCTTGATTGATGGGTGTGTGTGTATAACTGATCAACTCACACACTCACACACACATTCCAATCACTCGTCACACACTTGATCACAGATTGATCATATATCTAACACACATATGTGACTCTTGTTTAAACAACACATATATACATTGAATAAGCGTGATATGTGGATAGATGGCACTAATATGGAATGAGGATGGTCATTGTTTTGATGTGTCACTTCAACTTCAAGTAGGCTTTCTGCACTTCTTCAGGATTACTGGCAGGCAGGTCCAAGTCTAACCCATGCCTTTTCTCATATCCAACCATTATACATATATTGATCTATTCAATGAATGGATCATTGAAATGATCATAAATTTAATATATTAATGTTATTGTTACTGTCACTGTGATGGTAATGTGACGTTGAGGTACCTGATTTGGATGGGCCTACTATTGATCCTCGCTTCCAATTCACCATTTTTGTTTCCACGACCATATCGTTTGAGGTACCATCCATGTCTTCTATAGACAATCAATAACAACAATGTATTATCATTATTATTATTACTGTCCATAACACTACTTATACATTGATAATGTAGTTGTTTGTGCATGTATATTACATTGCCAATTCTACTTTGGATTGTGAGATGGTATGTGCCAACGTTGGGATTGAATTCCAATGACTTCTTAATTAGTCGCTCTTCAACTTGTGTCATGGTGGTTCTGCCTCTGAGTTGTTCGATTATCAAAGTCTGGTAAAGATGAGTAAGGGGCACGGCTGGTTCCATTTTCGGCGAGCCCTTGATGTTCAGGTCAATGTCAATGTACGCACCCAACTTTAGACATGTGAGTGACTCGGGTAGTGATCCAGGATCAATTGATAGTCCATTGAATGATCCAAGCTTAAGTATCTGGAGGCCTTCTGGCAACACACCATGTTCAATAACCTGCTTATGACCACATCGGAATGATAGCTTGGTCAGGGATGATGGGAGCGAGTGGGGTGTGAGGCGGATAGAGTCGAATGCGCCAAGTGTCAACGAGGTGAGTGACTGCGGTAGATGATGGCCAGTGATCACATGTGTGAATGAGTAGCCAAACGAAAGATTGAGTAGACCTTGTGGCAAGGACCCTGGTTGCAAGTCCTGATTGAACTCACGACATTGTTTGAGTGACAACATGGTGAGTGATCGAGGCATGACGCGAGGCAGTATTATCCTCGTGTAGTATTCCCCCAGTATCAGGGTCTCGAGCCCATTGGGCAAAGACCCTTCGTTGAACACCTGATTGTATAATTGACCCATCTCGAGATAGGTCAGTGATGCGGGGAGTGTGCCAGGTGCGATCCTTTGCGAGAATGAGTAACCCAATGTCAATGAGGAGAGGTTTGGAGGTAATATGTTTGGTTCGATCGTTTGATTGAATGCGTCACTCAATCTTAGAGTTAGGAGTGATGATGGGAGTGTGCCATTTGTGATCGGGTGTGAGTATGCCCAGCCCATTGACAGACTGATGAGTGATGATGGCAGTGTACCAGGCGTGATAAAATGATCGAAATGGCTTGCAAATGACATATGTGTTAGTGTTGATGGGTATTGATGTCTATCCTTTGGTAATGTATTCTGGAATGTCCATTCAGTATCGGTTTGTTCAGGTGATTCATTTATGACATCGTTGTCATTGATGGATCCAAAAGCATCGGCAGCTTCTGCTGCTAATAGCTTGTTCGTACGACTGAACAATGTTGGAAACTTGTCAATAATGAGTTGATTGAATCTTTTACAAGTTATTGATAACATTGCCAAGTTGATACTACAGTCATCATTGTCCATCAACCTTTTGATCAATTCGATCAATATCAGATTGGATAGTTGATCCATTATTGATTGATTAACTTTGTTTGATATATATATACAAATAATAATAATAAATAGAAATACAACTTTATCTTTTGCTGATATGATTGAATGAGCCAAAGTGTCAATGGTCGCGACCATTTCCATTTCCAGAAATGATCACATGATCGTTTGGTGCGCATAATGGGGGTGTCCACGGAAACAAATTGGAAGTTGAGCCCAACTCATCAGAGCTTCAATCTTTTGATCCATGTCTTTAGTGAAGAGGACGAAGACTTGTTCATTAAAGCCATCCTTGGATTGTCCTTGATTGGCATCATCTTGAAGTTGATTGGTTGGTTGGCAACTGACGATACACTTGATCTTGGAATATTGATACACAATGCTTTGTGTTTATCGATTATTCTAAAGACCTGAAGATATACATCTGAGAATCCAATATGATATATCGATAGGAACATACTATAACTATCCACAATGAATGGCATACGCATCATCAAACTCTTCATCAAACCTATCTGTATGGTCTTTGACTTTTGAGAGCTGTTTGGCGAGTTGGTATCATAATAAACATTGATTGATAAGTTGTTGATGTGTGATAGTATCACACATTGTGATGATGAAGATGATGTTGGCCAAGTAATTAACTTGGTTGGTAGTTCAGGCTTATAATCCAAAGGGCAGTATCGTATGATTAGATGGTCGAATGTAGGTTGTTGAATGTGTTGGACATAGTGTAGTTGTGACATGGTGTAGATTGAGAGTGATTTGAGTTGAAGAGGGAACACGATCAGTGCTTTGAACTCCTCGCCAAGTGTCAGTGCTGTAAGTGACGCTGGCAAGACACCCTTGTGTATCGGTTGATTGAATGATTGACCCAGTACCAATGTGCCAAGTGAGTTGGGCAACATGTCCACGTCGATGATCTGATCATAGTCAAAGCCTAGTTCGAGATAGGTGAGCGATGCTGACAGTGCATGTGGTATGAGTGGTCGATTGTAGGCCTGTCCAAACGTGATGCTTGTGAGGGACATGGGCATCGAGCCAAGGGTGAGCGGCCGATTGTACAGGTTGCCGCACACCAATGTTCGCATGGCCGATGGAAGCGAGCCTTCGACGAATGATCGATTGTAAAACTGACCAAACTGAAGGTATGTGAGCGAGACCGGCAAGACGCCGGGCTGGAGATCATCGTTGAAATAGCCGCCAAATGTCAATGATGTCAGGCCCACTGGGAGGGCACCAATGACGAGGGGTTGGCGGTAGAACTGCCCGAATGTCAGACTGGCGAGTGATGGAGGAATCACACCGACATCGATGGTCTGATTGAAGTTGTAGCCAAATACAAGCGATGTGAGTGAGCGGGGGAGGACGTCCCGCTCGATTCTTCGATCGTATGAACTGCCAAGCGACAGACTGGTGATTGAGGATGGGAGCAAGCCGACCTCGAGCACGTGGTCGAATGTGTCGCCCAGTGCCAGGTGAGTGAGTGCGTCCGGCAGCACCCCTGGCAAGAGGGGTTTGCTGAAGCTACCCCCAAAGGTCAGGGTTGTGATCGATTTAGGCAGCACATCCTTGTCAATATCTTGGTCAAAGGAGCTGCCGAGACTGAGTGAGGTCAGCGTCGGAGGCAACTGACCCAGCTTTAGTGGTTTGTTGAAATCATCATATTTGCGCGTTGTGACCGAGGTCGGTCCGCCAGGTGTAGTTGGGCAAGACCATTGAGAGTATTCCTTCGATGTGTATATCTGGCCATGTTCATCGCTGATCACATTGCTTTTACCATTGGCATTGCCTTTGTTATTGGATGTTGTTGATGGATGTATAATAGCTGACATGATGGTGTAGAGTCGCTTGCAAGATAGGCCCAAGCACACCAGGTCCAACTTTCTAAAGTTGTCATCATCCTGCCAAATGATCATCGTGCATATGTATCGCCAGAGATACTCAGACAACTCCAGTCTTTTCTCCATCTATCTATCTCTTATCTCTTATCACTTATCAATGCTGTGTTGGAACCTGATCGTTAGTGGTGTGGTCCAATGTCGAGAGGCAAATCCTAGTATCTGATCGTTCGTTGGGTCAACCCCACCCCCACTCACACACATTCACTTTGATTTATGGGATTGGGATCATCCCGGTATAACTATGACCAGGCACGCCTGGAGAGTTGACTTTAATCATCCATTTGAACATCTGTTAATGTTAAAAGATGGAATGGTGACACATAGGCATCGCTTGAGGTAGCACGTCTCTCCTGGATACACAAGACAGTCGTTGGATTGAGAAGACGGAAGTTGATCACACGATGAACGAACGAGTATCTTGGACTAGTGAACGTAGTTTGATAGTTCTCAACATCGGGCACGATGCTCACAAGTATCTGAACGAGTTGTCTTTGAATTGTATCGATGATCGCTGCCTTGGGTGCTTGCTGGAATGAATAGGTGGTGCCCAGCGCCAAATTCTTGAGATTGACCATGGAGCTGAGATTGGGCAGACTGCGCTTGCCCTTGAGTTGGCAATATGTGATGGTCAATGTTTCTAGGCTGTAAGGTGCGAACTTGGCGAGATGTATTTGGTTTGGCGAATAGATGGTCAGTGATTGCAGCCTGCTGGGGAAGTCGACTTCGGAATAGAAGTATTGGCCGAGCGTCAGATGCGTGATCGACGCGGGCAGCACACCCCTGCTAAGGGGTCGATCAAAGTTCTGTCCAAGCTCCAACGAGGTCAGTGTACTTGGCAGCACGCCGACCATGAGTGGCTTTGTGAAGTTGTCTCCAATCTTGAGGCTGGTCAGGCCTTGAGGGAACACGCCCTTTGCCAACGGCTTGTTAAAGTAGTATCCGATCACAAGTGTCTTGAGGGTCAAGGGGAGCGAACCTGGTTTGATTCCTTCGTCAATGCCACCCAAGTCAGCGTGTGTGAGCGATTGAGGCAGCAGCCCAGGTTCAAGTGTCATATTGCTGTCGCCTAGGATTAGCTTTGTGAGTGAGTTGGGGAGGACGCCAGGGACGATCGTCATGGTGTAGTTTTGATCGAATGTCAAGCTTGCCAACGAGGTGGGTAGTGAGCCGACTGTGAGTTCATGGAAGTAGTCGGCTCCAATAAACAGTTGTTTGAGTGTTGGTGGAAGTGTGTCGGGTGGCAGAGGGAAGCTAAAGTTGCGTCCGAATGTCAGAATGATGAGGGATCGCGGGAGCACTCCTTCGACAGTCTGATTAAAGTCACGGCCAAACTTGAGTGAGGTCATGGATGCTGGCAGGGAGTCGTGTAGAAGAGGCTGATTGAACTGGTCACCAAAGGTTAGGGATACCAGCGATTGGGGCAAGTGGCCTGCTTCAACGATCCTGTTGAACTGCTTTCCAAACTCAAGCGTCTTCAAGGTGGCAGGCAATGAACCAACACTCAATGATTGATTGAATGAGTGACTGTAAGTGCGTGATGTTAAACTTGTTGGTGTCTTTGATTCTGAGCCATCATCATCATCATTGCCATCATTATTGTCATTGTCTTTGTCGTTGCCAATGTCTATGCCATTATCATTGTCATTGTCTATCTCGATGTATGTATCAGTGTAGGAGTTTGTTCGTTTGATTGAATGACCTTGTGGCAGATCTGAACGATCGTAGAAGTCTGCAATCATCTCAGAACATAGTCTCCTACATGTTAGGCCCAAGCAGACCAAGTCCAAGTCATTGCCCTGTTTCTTTACCAACTCATAAATGAGTTTCCAAAGATAATCTGATAGTTGTATTTGTTGTTGTTGATTGTTCATTTTATGTATGATTGTATGTATGTATGTATGAATGTGTACATGTAGTATTGCTGTGATGAATGATCAACTAATGAGCCATCTCTTGACAAACAAAGTGTTATTGATTGATACTTGGAAGATAGAGTGTGGTTACAACAAGATGTATCTCAATAATATCTGAACAACACATAAATTAATTGTTTATATCTGTTTGATAGACTGGATGAACAAAGGCAAGATGTTTGGAAACTGACTTTGGTATGACTATGAATGATGTCACAAACTACATTCAATTATAATTCATTAATCAATCAATCAATCATATTATTACAATGATCAATCAATTTGGCAAAAAAATCAACAGATCCTGGTGATACCGCCACCCAAGGAGGACCATCAACCAAGTCCTAGAGTCAAGGAGGAATAATAAACTTTGCCAATGACGCCAACCCTTTGGGTATGCGCGTCTTGCCTCGTCTCGTCTCGTCTTGTATTGATTGGTTGATTGAATGAATGAATGTATGTCCTCATGCAATGTTGGGGATGTCCATGAACTTAAACATGGTCTGATTGCGCCCCTTCCATATGCAAAGAGTGTTCTTGGAGTCCAGGACACGATAGTGGTAGTGCTCCACCGAGAATCTATTGATGCGTGCCATGATGCTGGTGCTGTAGGTCGCAGTGTTGGCCGCAAACTCCAGTGTACTCTTGATCAATTGATACGTGATTGATTGACTATTGATGTTCTCAGCGGGTATGTCATCTGGACGTTGCCATCTGATGAACATAGAAAGCTCGAGCAGTCTGGGCATGTTGGTGCCTAGATGTGGTTCAGGGAAGTGCACACTGCTGCCCAGTTCGACAGTGCCGATGTGTACCTTCAAAGTCCTCGAAGCAGGCAACTGCTGGATGTAAGTGCATTGTGACAAGTTGTCCAGATGGAGTGTCTTGAGGTTTGGCGGGAAGACGATGGTGTTGGAGAATGAACTGCCAAGCTTGAGTGTCGTCAATGAGGATGGTAACACGCCCACTGGTATGGGCATGTCATAGTTGGTGCCAAAAGTCATGTCTGTCACCGACTCGGGCAGCACGCCTGGGACGATGGGCCTGTTGAATGAATCTCCGAATCGCAACTCTGTCAAAGACGATGGGATGGAACCAACGGCAAGGTCTTGATTGAAATCGCCAAGGGTAAGGAGTGTGAGGGATGTCGGGAGGGTGCCTGGCAATATGACCTGGTCGAATGCGGAGCCCATATGTAACTCGGTAAGCGATGGGGGTAGGACACCTGTTGCCAACGGTTGGTTGTATCTACAGCCCATGGTAAGAGTGGTCAATGAGTTGGGTAATGATCCGGGGACAAGTGGCATGTCGTATTCCGAGCCAAACTCAAGAGTTTGGATGCGTCCTGGCAAGGTGGATGGTGTGATTGATTGATTGAACGAGTCTGGCAGTGTGAGGGTGGTGATGGAGTCTGGCAGAGTACCTGGAAGCAACTTCTGGTTAAATGTATGTCCGAGCTGCAACGAGGTCACCGATGAAGGCAGAACACCAGCACCAATTGGTTTGTCGTAGTCGTATCCGAGACGAAGTGATGTGATTGAGGCAGGCAGCGAACCAACCTCGAGCTTCTGATTGAAATGAACTCCAAGGTCTAGATCGGTTAAAGACTTGGGCAGGATGCCTGGCGCCAACTTCTGATCGAATCGCTGACCAAACTCGAGTGTAGTCAGGCCTGCTGGGAGAGCGCCTGCGTTCAAAGGTGAGTTGTATCGGTCGCCAAAGCTCAGGGATGTCAATGTCTCTGGGAGTGAGCCGGGTGCGATGGGGCTGTTGTCCTCAATCTTCATGGTGGTGGACGATCCCTCTTCATCAGGCTGTTTACGCACTCGTCGTCCACTACCAGTGCGTGGTGGATTGGGGTCTTCCYTTCTCGGCTTCTGATGGACGTACAAACTGTTCCATCCTATTAAGCATGGCAAACAGTCTCTTACAAGTTAGGCCTAGACAGACCAAGTCGATCTCCTCATTGAACGAGTCCAAGTGATCAAATATCACTTTGTATATTATATCAGAGAAGCCGTCCATTGACATTGATGATGAAGTATATATATAATATTTGTTATGATTGATTATGTTGTAAAGATAAAGAAAATGACATGTGTCTTGTCGTGTCCTGTCTTGTCTTTACATTGATGGATGTATAGTGTCGCGCGCCTATTGTGTCGATCCAAAGGGTGTATTCCGTATGACTCAAGAGTTACAATACGAACTCACTGATTCTCTTTGTACACTTTGTATAAACAACTACAAGTTATACCTTTGAGAATAGATCATGAACTCAACAGACTCGTTTTGAACTTGGCGCGCCCCATTGCAGGAGTCTTTCAAGTAATTTTTTCAGACTGGTCACCAAGTGTTTGACCTTTGGCAAAGGACCATCGGCTAGGTCAATAGACACAATCATGTCAGTCAATACTTGGAAAGCAAGAGTAGTAGTAGAAGATTATGGTTGTCAATTACAGCCTAGTCATGCAGGACAAGCCAAATGATTGATGACTAGGCTGTAATTGATTGCAAAAGAGTGGAGTTTGGCCTTGGGTCCATGTTTTTTTGAAGGCCCTTGAAGACCCATCCTGATTATATTATCTTTCTTTATCTCCTTTGTTCAAAGGTAATGATGTACTGCTGGTACGACAGAGATATCTTTTGATCAATTCTTGGAAGTAATGACTTCGGGTCTACATCAGTTTCGTGTGTCGTTTTGAATCTAAAAATACTTGTGTGAGAGCAAAGGTCACATGTTATGAAGGATTGATCAATCATTAACAACTTGTAGATCATTGATCGTTGGTTTAAGCAAACATATATTTATATAACAACAACTTTATAACATGGATGTAATAAGAGAATATACATTGGAAGAGGTTGCCAAACATAATACACCAAAGGACTTGTGGCTGGTCCTAGACGGCAAAGTCTACGATTGCACGTCATTCGTCGATAACCATCCTGGAGGCGCAGGCTACCTTACATACTTGGCGGGCACCGATGCCACCGGTCCATTCATGTACAACGAGCACTCATCAGCAGCCATCGAACAGTTGAAGCCCCTATACATTGGTGAGTGCACCAACACCAAGACACCACCGGGCAAGTTCGCAAAACACTACGCTGTTCACCGCGAGGTCAAGATACGCAAGGGTTACATGTCGCTTGCGATCCGTGCCATCATCGTCGCAGCTGCCGCCTTTGTTGTCGCCAGATTGTGGATCAAATAAATAAATATATATATATGATTGTATTACTTACGATTTCGAGGGATGGGCCTTGGTCGGCTGGCTGGCAAGATGTTTGTCCATCTACAACTGGAGTAGTTTGGAAGGAATGTTGTATTACAATACCTCTACATCTCTAATTATTATTATTATAATTATTATTCAACAAACTTACTCATTCATTGATAATGTATTATGACACATTGAATATGAATATGACTTACTTAATTACATGTAGTTATAATGATGAAGTATGTGAATGAATGAATCAAGGTACACTATGATGGGGTTGGTTTGCCAATCAATCTGATTGGTGAGTGAGTGGCCCAAGTCGGGTGAAGAGGCACTTGTGGTGAGTGGGTGTTGATGAAAGTGATGGACATGTAGTGGTAGGGGATACTAAGAGATGATGGGTGGATTGATGGATGGAGGTAGTGGTTGATGATGTTGTTGTTGTTGTAGTTGTAATAATACACACAAACAGACAAACACTCACCCAATCAACACAACACAACACAACACATCACATATATCACTCACACAACACACTCACACTCACACAACATCTAATTGATTAATCAAACATGATTGATTGATCACCCTGACATACCATACCCATCTAGACAACACTATCCACCAATCCAATCACATCCAACACCTCACACCACCCAACAGATGTTTTGCTGTGGCATTGATGCTGCTATAATTAATGATGTATATCACCTATATCTCATGCACCTACTACTATACTTTGTTAATATATGATTGATGGATTGATTGTTTGTTTGATTGATTGATTGATTGTTTGTTTGATGGACTACACACTACTACTACTACTCAGTACCAAACCTTGTCAATAACTCTCTCTTTCCTCCCATTCTATTCCAATCACCTCAACAATAACATAACATTAAATTAAGAGAGATATAATTAATATTAATATTAATATCAAGTAGTTAATTCGTTATTATTATAATAACAATTCAAACTTAGTTGACCAATGTCAAGCCTACCAAGTAATTATTACAAGGTTGATAAACATGACTCTTGTGATACAATGGACTTACCAGTATGTATAACTTGGTCTCAAGAGATAACTTATCTTAACTGAACGAATGAATAGTTCCAATAACTAACTATTGTCATCAAGTCAAATGAGTTGTTGAGGAATTTACAACTCACATTTGTTGAGAATATAGTATTGTTACCTGGAGAGATAATAATATTACAAACTCCCAATGTTGTATATCTCTCAACAGTAGATACGATACCAGGTCGTATCGGTACACTATATCAAACAAACTATCAATTCTTTATGATTGATGATGTCAAGAAGGTAACAACTAAATGATATAACCTCAGTTGCCACTCACCTACTAACTCCTTCATTACTTAGGAGGTAACATTCTGTATACCAAATGGATTGGTGTCTGAGGTGAAGAAGCTAAAGGGACATGTTACTGTTAAATATAAAGAGAATACAGTTACACAACAACAACAACAACATCAGAGTACAAGTGATAATGGTGCATCTACTTCACCATTACCATCACCAACAACACCTGTTACTCCTACTCCAACGACAACGACAACACAATCAGTGACACTAGGTCACTCACTCAAGAAGTCTACCAACAACTTGGCAAGCTCATCATCATCATTGACAGTGCCAGCATCATCCTCATCATCTTCCTCGTCAACAACATCAACTACTACATCGGCAGGATCAGAGAAAGCATTGATATTGGAGATAAGATGTAGGGACTTCAACCTACTACGTATATGCCTGCCCTCCAATCAAAAGGGCAATGAGGCGCATGCAACAATGTTGAGATACGCTTTCCCCGAGTCGACAACGACATTGTTTGCTAAGGCCTTCGCGCCATACATCTCCGAGATGTCTGCCAACGGTTGGCAGACCTACGACCCCGTCGAAGACTACGAAAGACAAGGTCTGTTGGCTCCTGGCAGCAACTGGCGATTGACAAAGATCAATGCCAAATATGATATATGCGACACATATCCCGCCTCCCTGCTGGTGCCCAGCACACTATCCGACTACATGTTGCAACGCTCAGCGTCATTCAGATGCAAATCTCGCTTCCCCGCTTGCACTTGGCGACATCCTTACACGCATGCCTCGTTGTCACGTAGTGGCCAGCCCATTGGCCAAGGCAAGTCACGCTGCGAGGAGGACGAGTCACTTCTGCAGGCTATCAGGAAGAGCACGCCTGTCGACCAGGTCCATGCGCAGGGCCTGCCTCAGCCTCTGTTCATCTACGACTTGCGTGCCAAGTCATCGATCGGCTCGCTACACAGCAACTTCTCAGAGGATCACATCAACTATCCACACTGCTACGTCGAGTATGCAGGCCTGCCCAACATCAACGAGCTGCGCGAGTGCTCGACCAAGCTGTTTAAGGCAATCCGCAACTGGGACGAGAAGAAGAGCTGGGACGAGATCGACTCGTCAGGATGGTTGGCTCAAGTTGGCAAGCTGTTGTTGGCGTCAAAGCGTGTGCTCCAGATCTTGCACTCTGAGGGCCTATCCGTACTCATCCACTGTACAGAGGGATGGGACCGCACACCCCAGCTCATGAGTCTTGTTCAACTCCTGGCAGACCCTTACTACCGCACTATCAAAGGATTCGTCCAACTAATATGCAAGGAGTGGCTATCCTTTGGACATAAGTTCATGACCAGATCAGGGTATGTTAATGTGTAGCGCCGTGTTCAACTGTAGCCAGTACTAACAATCAATCAATCAATCAATCATAGAACAATGTCTGGATCAGCACTAAAGCAGACATCACCAGTGTTCTTGCAATTCATCGATTGTGTCTGGCAGTTGACGAGACAGTTCCCAACAAGCTTTGAGTTTACGGCTCAGGTGCTGACTACGATCATCCATCACATCCATTCTAACCTGTTTGGAACTTTCTTGTTTGATTCAGACAAGGAGAGATCGAACAACAAGGTGCAGAACGACTCTGTGTCTCTCTGGTACTTGCTCATTGCGATGACCAAGGAGCGCGCATTCATCAATCCCCTCTACTCACAATCGTCCGCAATTGTAGACGACCCTGAGCTCAGCTCAGGACCATTTGTCGTTCGAAAGGACTATGACAAGGCCAACATATTGGTGCCCAACCTGCAGAACCTGCAGCTGTGGGCGGACTTCTACCTGAAGTGGCGCTACCCCGTCAAGCCCAGCAGGAAGACCATGACGCTGGTCGACCGAGCCTTAGCCGTGCACGGCTTCAATGGCGACCTGGTATACATCCAGAAGAAGAAGAAGGAGAGGCATGCACGCAAGTCACAGAGGCGGTCAAACATCGACCATCTACGCGCGAGAAAGTCCAGCAAGACCAAGGAGAGCATCGCCAACTACTTTACAAGTGATGGCACTCCAGACGCAGATCAGCAACAGCAGATGGATCAGCAACACAATGGAAAGAAGAACTACGATATACCAAAGTTGCTGATCGAGAAGATTGACAAGTCGGCATATGATGGCTCGATGGACAGCCCAGCAGAGTGTGAGGAGTTGAGGACGTCGACGACCACGACCACTACAACTACCACGGCAACTTCGAACAATAACAGGCGCAATGGAACTGCATACATCACAAGCCCAGTGCTCAGCCCAACCGACCTCATCAGCCCATCGTCCAATGAGGACGTGTCAGAGGACTCGGTACTCTCTCCAGTCGCCAACAATGCGCCAGCCAGCACCAACCTCAATCAATCGATTGCCAGTCAGGAGAAGGAGTTGGCCAAACAACAGAGAAGGAAGGAGAAGAAGGAGCGACGTGAGAAGAAGAGGGCAGAGAGAAGGAGAAAGAAGCAGGAGAAGAAGGATATGGAAGAGAAGAAGACGCCAGACATATCTGTTGTTCTGCACGGTGCCACCAAGACCATATCACTACGCTCACCCAAGAGCAGGATATCAATCTTCTCTGCATCATCAACACCAATGTCTCCAACAACCAGCTCACCTAGTATTGGAGAAGTGAACCATCATCAAGAGTCTCCAAACATGAATGGTGGTGGAGGCCTCAACAGCAGCACCAATGGCAACACGACCAACTCATCTCAATCCGCATTCGCAAGGATCTTCAAGACGATCACAATCAGACACAAGGCTTAGACAATCCATTCAATCAATCAACTTAAACTTACACAAGCACAGCATAATAATAATGTGATAACCATCAATCCAACCAGAGTGTGGACGTGCAAACGTCCATCGCCAGTAGTTTATTGAAGTTATGGGGCAGTGCATGCAGGGTAGTAGTATGATGTAGACAAGTGGCGCCGGACACTCTCCTCGGGGAGAGCATGCCTGGCACGCCATTTATTAGAGTAGGGTGGGAATGGAAGGATACAACATACAAGAGTGAGAGGTGAGGGTGAGGTGATGGTAGGTAGGGTGATAGAGGAAGGACGAATGGTTTACCAAACAGACTGCTCGTTAAAGTTCTTGTTGTTGTCCTGGTTGGTGCATTGGGCTGGAGCCTTCATGTCGACGGTGTGGCACCATCCCTTGAAGTGGTTGGCAAAGTTGGCGCCTGGCAACTGGTTGTGCTCAGAGTCGGTGACACCATCGTTTGGCCACTTGAGAACAGAGTTGGCGGCCAGGTTGCAGTAGTTGACCAAACCACCGGTGTTGTACTGGGTGGTGGTGAAGTAGATGATGGCACGCTTCTCCATTGGGATCGAGCTGAGCCACAGGGCGGCTCCGTCCAGAGTCATACCGTCGTTGGCGGAACAGCCAATGCCGATGGCACTGCCGATGGTGGCCAGTGAACCGGCGAGACCGGTGCCCTGGTATGGGGAGCCGATCGACTGAACGGTGCGGCCGGGCAAGGCGAGCGACAGGTCGAGGTTGCTGTGGTAGAAGGTGAGCAGATGCAGCGAGGCAAGACCACCCTGGGAGTGACCACAGATCGAGAAACCGTCGGTGTAGTTGGCACCGTAGGCGGCGATCATCTGGGCAAACACGTCGTGTGGACGGTTCTGGCGGAGATCACTGAAGACGACAGCGTTGGTGAAGTCGGTTGGGGTGAAGGGATCACCGTCTGAGCAGTATCCGTGGACGAGGATCAGCTTTCCGTTGCCAGAGGCGGCGTCGGTCTTTCCGTAGCGGGCAGCCAACTCAGCGGGCATCTTTCCGTCACGCATCTCCTTGGTGATGACGTTCAGGGCTGGGACGTACTCGCGAGCGCGGACATCGACGTAGTTGGCCATCTTGACGGCAGACTGCTCAGTGGATTGGTACACTGGGACGAATGTGTTCATGTCAGAGACGAGGACGTTGGCCACGGCGAATGGGGCGGTGGCGTTGGCGAGGGCGACCCAACGGGTGTTGAGAACAGCCTGCACAACGTACTGGTTGTTGACCTTCTGGACTGGGGTGACACCCTGGACCCAGGCAACTGGGACCTGCTCGCCGAGGGAGTTGGTACCGTAGACCTCAGCGTAGAGACGCACGTTGGGTGCGCCAGACTGAACGGTGGACACCTCAAAGTTGAGGGTGAGCTCGTCGTCGGACTGGGTGGCCTGGACGGCTCCAGAGAGTGTGACGTACTGGGTGGTGACTGGGATGATGTGTTGGGTGGTACGGAACAAGTCGTCGCCAGTTGGTGCAGTGCCAAGGAAGACGACTGAGGTCATGTAGTTTCCGACCTCGGTGGCCTGGAGCAGACCTCCGTAGATTCCATCATCGGCAGCGCCGTCTGAGTGAAGACCATCGTCAAACATTGGGATGGCAGAGGTCTGTCCCTGGGGCGAGATGACGTCCATGGTGGCGGTGACCTGAGTGGCCTTAATGGCAGATGGCATGTAGCCCTCTGGACGGGCACCCACTGGCAGAGCCTCCTGGCTGCTGGTGAGCATGGCCAAAACGGGGATCTGCTGTCCAACGAACAGGTTGTTGTAGGACTCGAGGTAGGTGTAGATCTGGAACTCGCTTGGGTTCATGGCGAGCAAGAAGGCAGATGGGGTCTGGCCCTGGAGCTGGCGAGCAAAGTGCTCGGTGGCAAGGAGCGACACGTGGGCGGTGACCTTGACGGTCCACTCGCCGACTGATGCCGACTTCCAGAGGTATGAGGTGGATGGGATCATGTTGCCATCGATTCCAAAGACGCCGTGCGAGACGACTGGGCTGGCAGCCTTGCCGGATGAGGGCGAGGCGGTGAGAGTCAGCAGCGAGGTGAAGTTGGACACGATGCTCAGAGTGAACTGCTCAGAGGCGTCGACGGGGATGGTGGTGATCCACTCGATGTTGTTCGAAGTCTTGCTCTGTGTGAAGACGATTGGTGTGAGAGCAGAGTTGGACTGCTGGGCCACCTGCTTGGGGTTGGGCAACAGGAAGTTGGCAAACTCGGATGGTGGTCCGGCCAAATTCTTTGGTGTGAGGTTCGCGCTAGACACCATCGCAAACAGAGTGAAGCACAATGCGAAGAAGGCAAGTGCCGACTTTGTGTTTCTTGCCATCACTGTGATTGCTGTTTCTCTAGATTGATCCTGTAAATATTTGAATGATTGATTGGGATGATTCCAGTGTATTGATTTGATTTGATTGATTGATTAAGTGTGTATTGAGGGAGTGGAATAGTTCCAGTGAATGATTGATCGTGAATGAGTGTGGATGTCCTGTGTGTTAGTATCGATTTCCTTTTTTGGACATCATGCTCAACAACAATCAATGATTGATGTTGAAGGCCAAGGACCTAGATGTACATGTAGATACAAATACTATTACTTACGTATTATTTTTACTATTGTTTACAAATACAGCTGTTATGTTTAAAAAATGAGAAGTGATTGGAGTGATTTGGAAAGTGATGAGAGTGCAAAGGGTCCAGGACATTTAGACGCACTTTTTTCAAATTTTCTTTTGTTTTTGATCACGAAGCCTCTTCAGAGCCTTCAATCATGCAAACAGTGACTGGTTTTTTTGGTGACCTGTATGATGGACCATCATACATTCGTCCAACCACCACAACAACAATCAAGTTTCTCACCCCCAAGTCCTCACACCTCCTCCCTGATCGCCATCTCCCGCTCCTGAACATGTGGGAGTGATGTTGAACAAAAGCTATTTCATCGGATTGTTCGGGTTCATAATCAATCTACAAACAACGAATAAAATTATTCGTTAAGGTTATAATATTATATAATTATTTATATTCATTGTGATCGATCAATGATGTGTGTGAGTGTGGACCAATGTCCATGATCAAGTACATTGACCAGTCAGCTCAAAGTCGCAGTAGACAGGTGGCTCCGAGTCGTCAATGGGCATGCTGGTGACACGAAGGTAGTTGACAAACTGGTCGCCATGTTGTCTTGGCGCAAAGTAGATGGGGACGCGCGTTATCTTCTTGGGCGCCAGTGTGATGATGTTGCCAATGTCTGGCTCCAGGTAGAATGGATCGCCAGGATCAGACAGCATCACGGTGATCTCCTCGTCCGTAGGATTGACCACACAGATCTTGCTGTTGGTCCTCGTGTTGATAGCCACGTCGCCAAAGTCCACCGGTGACTCGCCAGGATACATCATATTGAAGTTGATGCTCAGGTTGTGGTCGACGGGTGGCGGCGCAGAGATGAACACCGACGCCAGCTTGGGATCAAAGTTGACGCTGCCGCCCATGAAGCTATTTGAGTTGTTGTAGTTTCCATAGCGTGACTGATTGTTGGGCGTTGCGTACGGGTCCTTGAATACTGATTGGTTATTATATACACTGTTGTTGTTGATCGATGTTTGATGGCTGACATCATGCTCAGTAGACGCGTCTGGCGACAGGTCCAGGGAGTTGTTGGAGTCGTCCTCCTTCATATCGTAGCCACTGACACTACCACTGCCATTGTATGATCGACCTGCACTGTTGTTGACGACAGTGTTGAACATGTTTGAGGGGAAGTAGGATGTTGTGGTCGATGTCGCCAGTCCTGGGGTGGTGCTATTGTTGTTGCCAGACTGTGGCTGGCGGAGTGAGTTGGACGATATAGTTGAGGCTGTTGTGGGTGTCTGGATGTCCCTCATGCTCAGGTCATTGGCCGATGACCGCAGAGAGGATGCGGGTGGGGCAGGTGCTGGAGCTGTCTGCTGATACAGTGGTGCGAACCTGGCAGGATACTGTGATGGAGTTGCCACCTGTGTCTTGTCAAATGCTGCCATAGATGCGTTGCCAGGTCTAACAGCCGAGTGTTGAGGCTGTGGTGGTTGTGTCTGTGACTGGTACTGGCTATTGTTGTTGTTGTTGTTCTTTGACGCCGTGGTTGTCGTGGTTGTCGTTGCGTTGTTTGTTGGTGTCCTTGGACGTGATTGAGTAAAGGTGGAGGATACAGGGTTGTACATTGATGGTTGCCTATTTGTGCTTCCATTCATTGGGACAGTCGCGGCGGTTGAGCCCTGAGTCTGTGTCGCGAACAATCCATTGTTGTTGGACTGATACTTTGTCTGTGGACTCACATCCTCTTCATTCTCCTCTGTGGCCACGTCGTAGTTGGCCAAAGACATCGAGTCAAACTCTCTGATAAAGTTCTCATTGTTGGTCATCACCGATCCAGAGGCGACGGGGTTGTTGGCTGGGGCGCGGATGGGTGTGGACACAGTGTCGGCGGGCTTGGCAGGTGTGGCGGCAGAGGGTGGCGCACCCACAACAGGTATCACAATGATAGACTGCAGATTCTCATCAAAGAGCTCGAGCTCGTGTGTGTTGAATGACTTGTCGTAGGCAATGTTGCCCTTGATATCTGGATCGTCCTCGTTGGGGAACTGGTCCTCATCCAGGAAGTCCTGGTCGAACCACTCGAACGACGTGTACTCGACGTTGGGTAGACGCTTCTTCTTGGGTGTCTGATCAGGCAGGCCCACAATGGTCTTGGCGCGGCGTCGTCTCTGGCGCGCAATCTCATCGCCATAGAACAGTTTGATCATGCCGGTGCCCTTGGTCCAGTCCTTGGACGTGCCAGCCTCTGGCGTGATCTCGATGATAAAGTCCATGCGCTTGCCTACGCCAATCACAGCCGATGCTGGTATAATCTCGATGTTTGCGCGCTTGAATTGAGCGAGTGGGCGCACAAAGCCAGGGCGATGTCCGTTGTTCTTGACCGAGAGCATGCAGGTGTAGCCCTGGCGACCATTGGCCTGGCCATTACCAAACGACGAGTTGACGTAGATAAGTGCGTGGCCGGTCTTGGGATCGGTGTAGAAGGGCGAGAGGATCTGCAGCTTGGCGGCACCTCCGTAGCCGCGCACGGGAATGGTGAAGGAGCGACCGTCGCGCATAGAGATGCGGATGGCGTTGGAGTGCGTGGTGGCCTGCGTTGGCGTGTACTCGATCTCGAGTTCGACCGACTTGTTTGGCTGGATCAGTATCGAGCCAGTGTTGATGTGCAGCTGGTTGTCCTGCGGCGTGACCAGCGATGTCTGCAGCTGAAGGCTCTTTGAATCCGACGAGCTCAAGCGGATGCGCTGGAAGCGGCTGTTGCCCAATGGCACGCCACCAAAAGTGACCAACCTTCTTCCACAAAAGATCTGGATACCACTTGGATTGTTGATGTTGCCTGTGCTTCCTGTGTTGCTCGTGCCATGCTGCAGGCCACGTGACTTGATAACGCCAATGTATTCGGGCTCGCCATTCTCGTCATCATCATACATGACCGAGATGTCCCTGGAGGGTCTCTCTGGTGACTGGTCCGGTGTGAGTTGGGGCGAAGGAGTTGTCGAAGTAGACGTTGGCTCCCTGTTCATATATGTTGTTTCCTCGTCGCCCCTGTTGTTGCTCGCGGAGCGGGTGGAGAATTGTCGCGTGGTGCCATTTGGCATCGACTTGGACAGGGCTGGGTTGGATGATTGATGACCCTGACCATGGCCATTTGTGCGAGGTATCTCTGGCTTCTCCAGGAGCAGGTTGACCTTTATGGCATCGTTTGATGATGGGCTGGTGATAAGAAGGAAAGAGGGCATGGTGGAGGCCTGTGCGACGACTTCGCGATATCTGATGGACAACACGATTGAGTGATTGGGGCTCTGCGCACTCAAGGTGAAGCGATCGGGTTTGATGAGGTAGTTGGGGTTGGTCGATGTGCAGATGAGCTCCAAAGATCCCTTGCCAGAGTACTCCAATGGCAACTTCACCTCGTCCATGCCCACAGCAAACACACCCTGTTGCATGGCAAAGGCCGGCAGCTTGAGCTCCAACTGGCGTTGCTGGTTGTTGCCCACCTCGACCATCTGGTACTCAACAGCATACTGCGGCTCAGATGTATGATGCTGTGTATGTCTCCTCTGTGGCTGTGTCTGACTCTGGGAAAGAGTCTGAGTCGTCTGTGGTTGTGCTCGCTGCTGAGTATGAGTTTGTGGCTGAGTCTGAGCCTGAGCTTTGACCACATTTGCGGTCAGCTTGACGACCTTCTTGATGCCCAGTGTGCTGTCGTGGATGACTGCCTCACCCGTGGCAACCATGCGGTCCGGCGCGGTGAACTTGAGCGCCACGTGCTGGTTGTCAACGCGATCCAATCGGTAGCCATTGCCGCGTATCTCTACCACCTGGCGACTGTTGTCCGAGATGAACTCGCCGTGCAGCATCTCGCCAGGGTAGCACTCGCCCAGATCCAGTATATTGTGATAGTGCAACAGGTCGCTGTTGGCATTCAGCGTGTTGATGCAGCGACCCGACAGAACGATATTGACAATCGACGCCATTGTACCGACGAGACCGTTGGGCATCTCGGTGGCGGGCGATGGCACCACGACGAGCGATAGCGTGACCTCGTATTCGCCGTCCTTGGCAACCACCGGCGCAAACTGGACTGGCAGCTCAAAGCGCGAGTAGGCCACAATCTGGATCGGTGCGCCAATGTACTCTGGTTGCATCGTCACCTTGAACAGGTCGCGCGACGCGCCCTGGAAGGAGTATGACACAATGGTCATGGCGTAGGGGTTGGGGTTGGTGATACCCACGGTCCTCTCGACGAACCAGTCCTTCTCACACGAGCCAAAGCTGACGTGTCCGTCGGTCTGCACGGCGGGGTACTCCTCCTCCTTGTTGCCGGACGGGGCGGGAGCAGCAGAGCCTTGGCTATTATCCATTGATGACACGTCCCATGTTACGCGTCTGTTGGTCGACTCGGCTGCGATGGGGAGGGCAGCGGGGCCGGCATTGCCTCCACCGCCTCCGCCTCCGAAACCGCCGCCGCTGCCGTCACCAAGGTTGAACTTGTTCATCAGTCGTTGGTACTCTTTTTCGAGGAGATCAGTGTTCCTATGATTGTAGGTGATGATTGTGGGTCGAGCAATGGTATTGATATCATTGCGCGCCCCTGGCGGCACCTCCGACTCTATCATACTGTTGACAGGTGAGACGTAGGTTGTGGTGTTGACGCTGTGGTTGGACGGATGGATCGGTGTTGGCTGTCCGTTGCCGGCTGAACCAAAGGTGGGTGGGGTGCCGTGGCCGCTCAGCGTGCCCATCGTATGTGTTTTCTCGCCAAAGAATGTGCCTGGCGTCACTGTTGGCTGCTGTTGTTGTTGTGGCATGTTTGATGTTGGCCTGTTGTTGTGGTTTGGCGCTGGTGTATTGGCGAGTGATGCAGAGAGGCCTGCTGTTGTGAGGCCACCCGTTGATTGTGATGGCTGATATGTCTCGGGAGTGTAGGACAACGAGTCCTCGTTGTAGGAGAACGACATGCGTCCCAATCCACCCTGCAGTCTGCTATTGGTCGATCCATTCAAGTTTGCTGCAGACGGTTGTGGAGCGCCCATCATAGACGTCGTTGCTGTCGTTCCAATGAATGATTGATCGTCCATGTAATAGTCTGTTCGTGGCGAGAGTGTAGGTATGAGTGAGTGAGTGGGTGTCTCTGGCGCGTGCGACTAGGTATACATACTTGTCCTGCCTTGATCAAGTGAGTTTGATGATATATTGGGATTGAAGTCAAGTGGATTGTCGCGTCTGTTAATGTTGTTGTTGTTGTTGTTGTTGTTGTTGGATGGCATGGCAGAGTAATGGGACGCGCCAGCGCCAGCACTAGGGGCTGGCTGTCTGAGCACTGAGCCACCTCCTGGAGCTGTGGATGGTAGGGTGGACGAAGCCATCGAGTTGCCATATCTGAGGGTGTCTCTGCCGTGTATGACTGTGTCATTGAGTGTCTCATTCCTGGATGAAGCCATCGATGACATCATTGTTGTTGTATCATTCATTGTTGGTTGTCGAGACATTGTTGGTTGATGAATAACACTCTCATTGTAGTTACTATTGTTGTTGTTGTTGTTATTGTTGATGACTGATGTTGAGGCTGTGTCATCACTAAAGTATGTACGATATGGTCTATTGTTGATGACAGAGTTGTTCATGCTGTTGCCAAAGTGATCGCTCGACACGTCGTCGTAGTAGCGACTGTATGATGTGTTGGTGTTGTTGACAGTGGTGTCAACGAGGTGACTGTCGGCAATGCCGTAGCGTCCATTTGAATAGGATCGTCCATTGTCGTCGCCGACACGACTTGAACGGCCGGAGTAGTTGAAGGTGGACGACAGGGTGGGCCGGCCGATGAACGAGGGGTTCGTGTCGAGGTCAATGTTTGTGGTGTTGTGCAGCGACGACTCGTCGGACATCAGGCCGTACTTGTCCAGATCGCCCAACTCGCTGCTGACCTCCAAATTGTAACGGTCTAGGAATGCATGATTCGAGTCAAGAGGTGACACTGGCTGTATTTGTGAGAATAAGTTTGATGATGAATGTTGTGACATCCTTTATCTCTTCTCTTGTTGTTGTTATTGTTATTGTTGATATGAACTAACAACCAACCTACTAACTACTACTACTAAATAAACAACAATATATATGATTGAATGACTTTGTTATTTGATTGAATGAAAGAGAGAATGAACTATGCAAGGTGATCTCAGCACTTTTTGAAATTTGACCCTTTTTTGAAATTTGGCGCCAGTTTCAAGGTTCCACAAACTTTGGTGATTGAAGGACCAGGTTAAAGCGAGGGTAAGGGTACAATTTGAATAAATTTGGGTGATCTTTATTAAGATTGGAGGAATTCGATTAATGAATGATATATACAAGGTTGATGATGGTGTTGGGAAGGTGATTGAAAGGAACTAATTAGCCAACTTTGAGTCCAATGTTAATACCAAGAAGTCCGAGGATACTGGCCAAGATGTTCAGATTGATGAGACTCTCAGTGTCATTGGATCCTTGAGTTACAGAGATGTAGGTGGATGTTCCAAACTTGGCAGTGGAGGAATTGTTTGGTTGTTGGACTGAACCCATTTTGGTAATTGAGGCTAACAAAAATGATTTGGAAATATTAATACATATTCAAAAATATATATATATTAGTTATACTTACAAATTAAAGTCATTGTTTGATAGAGAAATATGATAAGTTGAATAGTTAATTAGTTGATTGGATGACTTTTAATATCCAGAATTGATATCTATTTATATTGAATGTTTCCAGGTCCTCTTTGGGACCAGATTCAATCAATCATGGCGATTATTCATGATCACGATCCCATCTTGATCAAATGATACTACTCCTTAACTTATTATTATAAAGTTTTAAGATTGATTGGATTGATTGATTGGGTTGATTGAGGAGATTGAGTAGTAGTGTCTATTCACAAGATTGAATCAATCTTTATATTACTTCCAAATTGGGTATGATATGATTATTAATCTGAGTCAGGGTTGATTAGTGAGCGAGTATGTGTGATAAAGTGTTTGTGTGTGTGTTTTGATTGAAAGGGTTTTACTTAATCGATCAGGTACGTGGGTTGAATTGAAGAGGTGCATTGACACCCGGGAATATATATATATATATTAAATGATTGAAGATCATGTTAATCGAGATCGTATATCAATCAATTAATAAAAATAATGCACTTAGTCATTGAAGTTCCTGATGAATCATTATTTCCCGCACAACCGGGAGAATCACTTTTCGAATGGGTCCTTAGATCCTTCCAAATCCATCAATTATTGTTCTGTATAATCAATCACTCACTCACACACACCACTACGATTGATTCCTATTGTTAACCCTCATATTAAGTTACTATGTAAAAACGAATTCAAATCCTTAAGTCGTGCAATCACACAGCAATTCTCTCACAGGGGAATTGACGCAGAGGTCACCAATCGTGCGCGACTTTAACTGTTTTTCAAACATCTCGCTCACACAAATGATCACCAAATGTGTAGATCATTGATCAAGGTATTGTCAACTTTATATATATTTGTATACATTCATCATGTGTCATTACATTTATAGTTAGTTTACTGTTAGTAAATAGCAATCTATTAATTAAATATGCATTATACTCTTCAATATACTTGAGCATCATTTAAACAGCATCGATTAACAACAGTTCAAGCAGCAACAAATTTCCAACAGTCAACGATCAACAACAGTGACGTCAATCAATCAATAACAACAAGTATCCAGTGTTAATAACATCAACAACAATAGCAATCAATCACAATAACAGCAGCGACATCAAACAATAACAAACAAACAAACAATTATAACAACAGCCACATCAATCAATCACAACAGTAGGGACCACAATCAATCACGACACACGCAATCTCTCTATCTGTACTAACGATCAACTGCAGCAACATAACAACAAACAAACAACAACAAACAACAGCAATAATCAATCAATCACAACTGCGACAACGATCAACTCACGCACACACTCTCTTCTCTGTATGTATATTTAAACAATCAACATGAAATTGCATCAACATCAACATCAACATCAACATCAACATCAACATCAACATCAACATCAACATCAACATCAATAACAACAGCAATATCAACCAAACAATCAACAACAACAACAACTAACAACAATCAAATCCATTAAACAACAACAAAACAGAGCAAGTGGCACAAACATCCTTCACTGTTGGATAATCACTCCATTCATTCACTCTCAATGCATTGTACACTGCTATACAAGTCATCAAGTATCATCTGGTCAACATCAAGTATCGTCTGGTCAATGATCCCAACGTCATCGACGATGTTTGTTGCAAGTTATCATGAGGTTAATTTTAGGAAATACATGAGGATGGAGGCACTAGTCACACCCACAAACCTGTTGTTAACTCTATGTGAATCCAATTTTTTGTTCCAAGTCGATGAAGGTACTATGGAGATGTGTGAGGGGGAGGGAGGTTAACTTTAGGAAAAAATCAACGTGCATCAAACGATCACACACACACACAAACAGAATGACTGGCAACTACTACCATTACACTGATGAGGCTGGCCTCAAAGGAATCAAGGAATCGGGACAAATCAGACCATCCACAAACACACAAACGGACGCCGCCTATGGCACTGGAGTGTACTTTACCGAGAAGATGCCACAGGCCTCAAACTCGACACTGTTTGTCAACAACTTTGATGGTGCATCACATGACCCAAACAAGCTTCAATACTATGTTAGAGTGCCTGCTTCAGAAGTCCCCGATGCCTATCAAGTCAACTCGAAGCGCAACATTGTATTGTTGCCCACCGATCAACCATTCGACTTACCCAAGTCGGCCCAGTTTGGCGAGAGAAAGAGATACCAATAAACATGCACCAGTGTTCGAGCCTGTTTTTGGAATTGGACTTGTCGAGTCGTGATCTTTATTAAGATATTAGAGGATTCGATTGATTAATGATTTATACAATGTTAATTGATTGATGATGTGGTTGATGATTGGGTTGGAGGATGGGTTGATGGATTGATCATCAACAATTAGCCAACTTTGAGACCAATGTTAATTCCAAGGAGTCCGAGGATACTGGCCAGGATGTTCAGATTGATGAGACTCTCAGTTTCATTGGATCCTTGCATTACAGAGATGTTGGTGGATGTTCCAAACTTGGAGGTGGACGAATTGTTTGGTTGTTGGACTGAACCCATCTTGGTAATTGAAGCTAATAATAATTTTGGAAAATTAATTTATTAATAATTATTCTATAATATTATATTATATTATATTGGTTATACTTACAAATTAAAGTCATTGTTTGATTAGTTGATTAGTTGAATAGTTGATTGTTATTTGTTTGATTGAATGACTTTTGAAATCCAGAATTGTTTTCTATTTATGTTCATTGTTTCCAGGACCTTTGAGTCCAATTTCAACCAATCTCGGCGATTTATAATTGATCACGATTACATCTTGATCATGATGATACTGCTCATTAATATTATTATAAAGTTTTAAGATTGATTGGATTGATTAATTGAGGAGATTGAGTAGTAGTATCTATTCACAAGATTGAATCATGCTATCATGAAAGACCTTATATTACTTCCAAATTAGGAAATGTGATGTATCTCATCTCTGTCAATCAGTTAGTGTCAGTGAACTCGTGATAAAGTGATTAAGTTATTCAGTGTGTGTGAGCGAATGTTTGATTGATTGATTGACTGATTGATGGAGGGTTTTATCTGATCGATCATCAGGTTGAGTGTATTGGAGAGGACCATCAGTCCACAACCCGGGTATATTAACTTAGTGGTGATCGAGATCGATCATTAATCAATCAATATCATCAATCTAAATGAATGGATAATAAAAGAATCATTCTTATATGAATATGATATCGACTTTGGTAAATCATTGGAAGTTCACACTAATTGTAATTTCCCACAAACACTACCAATGGGGTTGATCAAGTGATGTGAGTGGTCCTCACCCTGGAAGTGAGTGAACTCAAGCAAGAACACAATCAATCAAGCAATTTCAAATTACTTATAAGTTGTGTGTACATATATATATATATTAAAAGTTAATTAGTTAGTTAGATATGACAGCTGCTATCAAGATTGATGAGAGCCTGTTGCAGGTACATCTCACACCTGTCGAGGTGCCCATCTACAAGCTCGATGTCAAGGAGTCCTTCAAGAGCTTGACAACAAAGGAGAAACTCTATGCTCATCACTACTCCCAAGGTGAGTTAGTAGACTAACACATCATGCAGTGTAAAGTACATGCCACTCACACTCTTGAATGATCATGATCGCAGCTGCTTGGTGGGGAAGCTTGATCTGCCTTGGACAGACATCAGTGGAGAGTCCAATCATCTTTGACTTGTTCCAACGTATGTTTACATTGCGCAAGCCAGATGCATTGAAGGCTGCCATCGTCCCAAGCGTCGTCTCTGAGGAGGACTTCACCAGCATGGCCCAATACGTCGCTCAGTTCTACGGCAACATGGGTAACTACCTCAGCTTTGGTGATACCAAGTTCATCGTATGTTCATGTTGATGATGATGGAATCACTCCGTCCCATAAACTTACTCCCTCGCCCAACACAAACAGCCAAGATGCAGCAAGGAGTCCTTTGGTTTGATCGTCAAGTCATTGAATGATGAACAGTTGAATCAGTTGTGGACTCAATGTGGTGACTTGGTCTACTCACTTGGCTCAAGAGAGAGGGAGTTGGGACTTGAGGAGCATGGCCTGTCAACATACTACTCACCAGATATCACTAGAGCAGAGATCGAGTTGGTTCAGGAGTACATGACCTCAAAGGACATCTCAGCCTACAACACCAGACTCTTCAAGAAGTACTTCAACAACAAGCCTGTCTATCAACTCCTTATCGCCTCATCCGAGCGTCCAGCCAACACCCCCGCCTCTATTCACTTCAAGGGTAAGTCATGTATGACTTGGCAAAACCTGTCACATGATATCTAACCTCATCATGTTCATCCACCCTTCAGACATTGAGATCCAATTAGTGTACGGAGATTGGTCCAAGTATATGGCCAAGGTTGTCAGTCACCTCGAGCAGGCACTGCCACACGTGGCCAATGACAACCAGAAGAACATGACCCAGAAGTACGTCGATTCGTTCAGGAATGGCAGCATCCACGATCACAAGGACTCACAGCGCTGGTGGATCAAGGATATCTCGCCTGTGGTCGAGACCAACATTGGATTCATCGAGTCGTACCGCGACCCGTATGGAGTGCGTGGCGAGTTTGAGGGCTTCGTGTCGATCGTCAACAAGGAGATGTCCAAGAAGCTGGGCGCCATGATTGACGAGGCACAAAAGTTCATCCCACTGCTCCCATGGCCACGCGCATTCGAGAAGGACGTGTTCAAGAAGCCCGACTTCACATCGCTCGAGGTGCTCACATTCGCCAGCTCCGGCGTCCCCGCCGGCATCAATATCCCCAACTACGACGACGTGCGCCAGAGCGAGGGCTTCAAGAACGTCAGTCTGGGCAATGTGATTGCCGCACGCAAGGAGGAGCGTGTCACATTCGTGCGCGAGCAGGACCAGTCGCTGTACAACCATCTAATGGTCGAGGCCTTTGAGGTCCAAGTGGCCATCCACGAGTCATTCGGTCACGGCTCTGGCAAGTTGTTCACCAAGGACGAGAAGGGAGTGCTGAACTTTGATGCTACCGTCACCCTCAATCCGCTCACCAACCTACCAATCGATTCCAACACCGAAGTCTATCTCCCAGGTGAGACCTACGATTCAAAGTTCAAGTCGCTAGGAAGGTAAGTTCAGGTCACGTGGCCCATCACCTTTCACGCCCCCGCTAACTCATAACAACTTCCAACAAACAAACAGTGCAATGGAGGAGTGCCGTGCAGAGTGCGCTGGAGTATACTTGTGCGTCAACAGGGATATATTGTCGCTGTTTGGATTCAAGGGTACAATGGCCGAGGACATCTTTTATATTAACTGGTTGATCATGGCCAGAGCTGGAATCTGTGCATTGGAGTTCTACTCACCAACCACATCGTCGTGGAAGCAGGCACATATGCAGGGCAGGTATGCAATCTTCCAGGTGTTGCATCGTGCTGGCCAGGGACTGCTCGAGCTCGATGTCACCAAAGACAACATTGAGATCAGGTTGGACAGGACCAAGATCGAGTCCATCGGTGTGCCCGCTATTGGCGAGTTCCTTCGCCGTCTAATGGTACTCAAGGCCACTGGCAATGCTGTTGAGGCCATCAAGTTGTTCAATGGTATGTTCCATCAACCAAGGAAGGACCTTGGCCCCTGGCCCCTCTGATCACTCATACTCACTCGCGCAATCAATCAATCAATCAATCAATCAATCACATTAGATTACACTCATGTACCAGCCAACTTCCTCGAGATGAGAGAGACAGTACTCAAGCAGAAGAAGCCTAGAAAGGTGTTTGTTCAGGCTCACACCTATGTGGAGAATGGTGATGTCGTACTTCAGGAGTTCGCCGACACTGCCTTTGGCGTGATTGACTCGATGGTTACCAGGTTCCCAATCCAACATTAGATATCCACCTGACCTGGTTTATCCATAAAATCATCATCGTCTTTAATATCTATCATTCAATTCAGGGTAGAGTCTCACTGATTTGTGCCATCCATATCCTCACTGTTGAGCATCTGACGAAGGATCAACAGGTCTCACTTTTGGGTCGTTTGGATGCTTTGGTCATGCCTCTTTGAAGGGCCGAGTCAATGACACTTGTCGTGGTTGGCCTATCAATTTTGTCGACTCACACTCACCCGCCTGACTCGATCAAACGGTCAATCAATCAAAATGAAATTCCCCTCGAAACGACACTTTAGGATAATATCTATTTTTATTTTCTTCTAATTAATTAACTTTGACAAGATCCACTAATGGGCCTGAAATTGGCCTCGACATTACCCCATACATCGGCTTCGACTAATATCTTGTTTGATTCTCAGGAATTCAAGTAAGATCACTACAATATGGGGTTGTTGTTGGGCATTTCAACGTCATCCATTTAGTTGCCACCATCATCAATGGGCCAACTAAACATACTTTCCACGAATGGAGATGTCGGGTATTGGGCATGCCGGTCACTATTCCCATAATGAGACTTTCATACTCAATCAAAATTGATTGATTGTTGGCGACAACATCAGGCAGGTCATCCTGGAAATATATAAATATCCACAACTGTCAACCAGTTATATAATTCATTTATAAATGAATCAAATATTATTAATTATCAATCAATCAAATAATTATAATAATTATCCAATGAAATTATTTATTATTACTTTATTATTAAGTTCAACATTATTGTCATTGAACCTTCAGGGAGTCCAAGCTCAATGGGGCAGTTGTGTGTCTCGTGGAAAGGCTGGAACATGTATGGATGTATCCCAGTGTAGCAATGGATACACTGATCCTGCTGATTTATGTCCAGGAGGTGACAACATTCAGTGTTGTGTTCCTTGGGGACCATGCACATCAACCAATGGACAACGTGGAACCTGTATGGATACTCGAAGATGTGGAGGATGGAGTGATCCTGCAGACCTGTGCCCAGGAGGAGACAACATCCAATGTTGTGTAGCCAGTCGACCAACTCCAGCACCTACCACAGCACCACCCAACTATGGCTCATGTACCTCGACCAACGGACAGCGTGGAACCTGCAAGGATGTATCACAATGTGGAGGATGGAGTGATCCTGCCGATCTCTGTCCAGGAGGAGACAACATCCAATGTTGTGTAGCCGGTCCAGCACCAACTACCGCACCACCCAACTATGGTTCATGTACCTCGACCAATGGCCAGCGTGGAACATGCAAGGATGTGTCGCAATGCTCTGGATGGAGTGACCCAGCTGACCTTTGCCCAGGAGGAGACAACATTCAATGTTGTGTAGCCGGCCCAGCACCAACTACCGCACCACCCAACTATGGCTCTTGTACCTCGACCAATGGCCAGCGTGGAACATGCAAGGATGTGTCCCAATGCACTGGATGGAGTGACCCAGCTGACCTTTGCCCGGGTGGCAACAACATCCAATGTTGTGTCGCCCCATCTCCATCAATCTCACCAAACTATGGCTCGTGTACCTCGACCAATGGCCAGCGTGGTACTTGCAAAGATGTGTCCCAGTGCTCAGGATGGAGTGACCCTGCAGACCTGTGTCCAGGTGGCAACAACATCCAATGTTGTGTCGCCCCATCTCCATCTATCACACCAAACTATGGCTCATGTACCTCGACCAATGGCCAGCGTGGAACTTGCAAGGATGTGTCCCAGTGCTCAGGATGGAGTGACCCAGCTGACCTTTGCCCAGGTGGTAACAATATCCAATGTTGTGTAGCCCCATCTCCATCAATCTCACCAAACTATGGCTCATGTACCTCGACCAATGGGCAACGTGGTACTTGCAAAGATGTGTCCCAATGCACTGGATGGAGTGACCCAGCTGACTTGTGTCCAGGCGGCAACAACATCCAATGTTGTGTTTCTTCCCTACCCTCCAGCTCCACAACTGGATCTTCATCATGGGGAAACTGTACATCTACCAATGGAAATAGCGGTGTTTGCAAGGATGTCTCTCAATGTTCAGGATGGAGTGACCCAGCTGACCTATGCCCAGGAGGAAACAACATCCAATGTTGTGTGACCACCGGTTCACAATGGGGCAACTGTGTCACGACCACCAAAGAATATGGAGTATGCATGGACACCGCCCAATGCCATGGTGTCAGTGATCCCGCAGACCTGTGTCCCGGTCCAGCCAACATCCAATGTTGTATCTCCAGATCGTCCACGACTGGTGGAACAACTGGAGGCGTACCTGGCCAATGCTTCTCCAACATCCTTGGCAAGTACGGTCGATGCGGAGAGAGATCCCAATGCCTTGGATTCAGTGACAGTGCCAACCTCTGTCCAGGCCCCGACAGCATCCAATGTTGTGTCGACACTGGCTTCCAACTGACCATCAACGACCCCAACTTCATCCTGACCGAGTATGAGATTCGCCGCATGCAGTACACCTTTGCCGTCAGCTTCCCGAAGCTGTTCAATGTCTATGCCGCCAGCGGGGACAATCGTCGTGCCTACAAACTGAACGTGCGCTCGACCGTTGGCTTTGCAAACTGGGACGGCAAGGATATCAACATGGACGTCAAATCCAAGATCAAGAAGATGGATTGGTTGGTGCACGAGTTGACGCATGCACTGCAGAACTACAATTCTGGAGCAATCCCAGGCTGGTGGGTCGAGGGCATGGCTGATGTTGGCAAGTTCTACTACACTCCAGACGACGAACAAGGCTTCCCCTTCCCATCGGGCCTCACCGAGCACTACACCAAGGGCTACGAGCACGCTGCCAGGTGGTTCATGTGGATCGAGCACAACTACCGTCCCAACTTTGTCGTCAATCTCAATCGCTACTCGCAATCTGGTCCTGCTACTCTTGAGCAATGGTTGAGGAAGTTTGAAGAGTATGCCGGTGGTTCTCCAGAAGTGATGTGGTTGATCTACATTGCCGATCCATCCTTTAGAGACAACACCACTCCACGCAGGACTCCCAATGAAGTGACACCAACAGTCACCAGCAAGTCCACCTCTGAGAACACTATCATCATTGACGATGGTAACATTGGACAAGCATAATTAATTAATAAACCATCTGTCTATCTCTATGATTTGAGACTAGATCATCATACTCACTTTGTTCTTCTATCTCCCTAATATTGGCTACTACGACAACGACTACGACTACAGCTACAGCTACAGCTACAGCTACAACTTCTACAAATGGTAGTCATAATGCACAATCTTGTGTATAGTGGTTGAACAGTCTAGTCCAATCCAACTACACACTACTAAACTATTATAACTTCAACTAACCAACTTCCAACAACTAACTATCAAGTAGACAAGACAAGAGAAGATAAAGACAAGGATGTTGTTGATGTTCATAGTTTGTTCAAAAGGGGTGTGATTACGAATCACTTCATACACACACACAACCAAACTTTCCAATCTGAGTTGAGGGAAGTCCACGAATAACCCCATTGACAAACAAACACTTGCGCAACAACAGCCATCACCCAATCCAATGCACGATGACACATCTCAAACTACAATCTCAAAGGGCGCTGGTCTGCAAGTCGTCGAGACGAGATTTATAAAGTTGATTGGAGTTGATTGAGTTTCGCTGCGATGTCAGTCCAGACACCGCATCCCATTGGTTGGTTTTTCAAGATGGATGGGCGGCACTCGCGAACCCTACATCGTCGCCAACACTGCCTTCAATCGCGATAAACAGTCGCTCATAGGCCTATTCCCTAGCCTTCCCCTTCCTCCTTTCATCCCTTCATCCCTTCATCCACTCGCTTGAACCTAACTTCTTTCTAAACTTGTTCTTCTCAATAATAATTTGTTAGTTTATATTTCTTCTATCCACATTCATCTCTAAATCACAATGAATGAGTCAGTGAGTGCTACTGACTCGTGATGTTGCGTTGTGTTGTCTTGCGTCGAGCGTGGGTGGTACCGACCAGGCTCAACTCATAGCCCTCTGAATGATTGTACAGATCTGTACCTTTACCTGGAAAGGGTAAGGGTCGACCCTCCGCATGTAGAGACGCAAGTGTCGATGTCTACTTAACATCGGACTCCACAGTCATTCAATCTCATTCATTCACAGATAGTTATAACAATCAAACAAACATATAATATATATAAATATACATACAAAATATAATCAATCAATTAAATATATAATAATAATAATAATAATGATGAATATTAGATTTACAATCATTACCATTATTCTTGGTATTGTATTGTTGATGTCGGCCACAACAAATAATGTGGACGCATTCGGAATACCTTATAATTACAACTTTGATGACTTTGAAGGTGCAAGTGTCGCAGTGTCATGGGTAAATGTAGTACTGCGTTCAATCTCAGTGGCCACCAACAGACCAGCGCCACCACACATTGCCAGAATATTGTCAATGTTCTCTACAGCCATGTACGACAGCTGGGCCTACTATGACATCTTTGCTCGTGGTGTCTACTTGGACAACCCCCGCCACGGCCGTATCAAGGCCTCCCAAAAGGACATCGAGACTGCCGTCTCCTTTGCCGCGTACCGTGTGATGGTCGACCTGATGCCCGCCGCCAAGCCCATGTACGACGCCAAGATGTTGGAGCTCAACTTGAACATCAGTATCACAACGACCAACCCCAACACCCCAGCTGGCGTTGGAAATCTTGCCGCCAGTCTTTTGCAACAGGACAGATGGTTCGATGGAGCCAACCAGAAGGGTGACATGCCAGGCTCACGTGTTGCCGGAGGAAACTACTCTGACTACACTAACTACGCCCCACGCAACGACCCATACCCAGCCCGCATGAGAATGCCAGACAACTGGCAGCCACTCAATGTGCCAGTCGCCGGCACCAACACCACCGCTGTCCAAGCTGCTGCCGCTCCACACTGGGGCATGGTCAAGCCATTCTCCCTGTTCAACGGCGCTGAGTTGAGACCAAAGACCGGCCCAATGTTGTACTCCAACGCCGCCATGCGTCCAACACTCCTTGCTCAAGCCCAGGAGCTCATCAACTACACCATCAACATGACTGATGAACAAAAGGTCATTGCTGAGTACTTTGCCGACGGTCCCCAGAGTGTGTTGCCACCAGGTCATTGGTTCCTATTCTCAATATACGTCAGTGAGCGTGATCAGAACAACTTGCGTGATGATATCAAGATGTTCTTCATGCTTGGCAATGCTGTCCATGATGCAGCCATTGCCTGTTGGGACACCAAGCGTTTCTATGACAACAGTCGTCCTGCCACTTTGATCCCATTCCTGTTTGCTGGACAGAATGTCACGGGATGGCACGGAATCTGCAGCCGCAACGTCACCTACGACCTTGTCTCATGGGTGCCCTACCAGAGCCCCAACGTCTGGACCCCACCCTTCCAAGAGTTCAACAGTGGCCACTCAACCTTCAGCGCTGCTTCTGCTGAGATCCTTAAGCGCTTCACTGGTTCTGATGCCTTTGGCCTCAACGATACTGTTCCAGCTGGCTGGAGCAAGTTCGAGGGCTTTGGTGTGTGTGCACATGTTGTGCCTGCCACCAACATCACTCTTTCATGGCCAACATTCACAGCTGCTGCCGACATGGCTGGAATGTCTCGTCGTTACGGTGGTATTCACTTTGAGTCTGGTGACTTGACTGGTCGTGCCCTTGGCAGACAAGTTGGTGAGAAGGTCTGGTTGCGCTCACAACTCCTCTTCAATGGATTTGATCCAGACTTCTTTGGTGGTGGACATGGAAATGGAAATAATAACAATTATTAATTAATTAAATAAATTATTAATATATATATTCAATATACTTAATGATCAAAATTGGTTATGTCTAAGATTGAATGATTCAATAGGTGGTTGAGTGAGCGAGGTGTGGTAGTTCTGAAACAACGGTCGGTCGGTCATTGGCACACACTTTGAGAAGTTGATAAGTCTCACTATTTGAAGTTGTGTGGTGCTAATCGAATCCTGATTTGTCCTTTGACCAATGGACTATATTGTCGGGTCACATAGACCATTCGTCTTAGGTTATTAAGAACCTAAATGTAACCAAACATTCATATTATTTATGTTCATGAATCCCGAATTAATATCAATGGATCAAACTATAAATATCCCTCGATCAATCAATAAAATTTAATAAACAAAAACAAAGATATTAATTACTCAATCAAATAACATATATTTATCCATATCTTTTATTATTATTATTATTTATAAATAATGAAATTATTTATATTACTCTGTATTTTATTAATAAGTGTTGTCCATGGACAATCAGAATGTTATTCCGAGAGACTTGGAAGTAATGGAACTTGTGTGGAGAGCAATTCATGTGATGGTTATATTGATCCTCAATCAATATGTGATGATGGTAGTGGTATCACTCAATGTTGTATCAACACCGGATTCAAATTGATCATTCATAATGATGATGGACTTCTCAATCAAAATCAATTGGACCGCCTACATTATACCTTTGCCTACAGTTACCCTTTTCTATACAACAACTACGCCGCTGAAAATGATGAGAGATGGACTATCAACCTACTCCTCCAACATCTACCTGCCAACTACTTTGCTGAATGGGATGGACATGATGTCATTCTCAACATCGAAGTGATCCCATCAATGACCAACATGGAGTGGTTCGTTCATGAACTTACTCATACTGCTCAGAACTATGACCTTGCCTCTGTTGAGTTCCCAAGATGGTGGGTCGAGGGCATGGCCGAAGTTGGAATGTATTGGTATGCACCTGTGGAGGAACAAGGCAAACCATTCCCTGGTGAGCCCAAGTCTGACGATCACTATGACAAGAACAATGGATATGAAGTTGCTGCGCGCTGGTTCATGTGGATTGAGAAGAGGTTCAATGACTCTTTCATTGAGACACTCAATCACTTCACTCAAACAAAGCCAACCGCAAGTGAATGGTCCAACAAATGGGTGGAACTATGTGGATCTTCGCCTGATGATATATGGGCTCAATACGTAGCAGATCCATCAATCCCAGAATGATGGACATTATCCATCCCATGGGTCACATTGACATGATATCGACATCCTCGAGGTGTCTACCAAACATAAATAATAAAGAATGGATTCGGTAATCACTTTTCCAAACCATTAATTTTGTTTTGATGACGAGGATGGAGTAGTGAGTGTTTGGGACCAGTGACGAGGCTTCTCAGGTCATAAGTTCAAATTCTTGATGCACAGAAAAGAGTAGGGTATCTTCAAATAGGAACTAAATCAATCATTCTTTCATTTAATCAATCAATTAATAATTCCCAAATACACTCAATTATTTATTCATTATCACTCAATCAAACTCATGAAATCATCCAAGAATTTAATACTTATTTCTAGTATATTATTGGTTGTTTTACTTTATATATTTTTTTCAAGGAATAATACTGTGTCTGGTCTTGAAAATTGGGATAATACACTTGATGATAAAAGGTCAATATTGTCAATGGATCAATCAATTAATCAACAACAACAACAACATAATAAGACATTCGTTGTTAATGATGATGTAGAACTATCATCCATCGACTTTCTTGATTCACTCAATTATTCAAGGTTGATTGGTAACCAGGATGAGGAAAAACAATGGCATTGGCGTTACGACCCTCCCCAGCCCAAGGTCATTCGTTCAAGTATCCAATACCAAGATGAATCAATAGTATGGCTAAGTGGCAACTCGTTAATCAGATCAATAATGATAGCATATGCAAATCACATGCACTTGGTCATCAGACCAGATGATATATGGCAAGCAATAATCACTCAGTTCTCATTCTATGTCAATGCCCGTTCAGACACTTTGAGGGACAAGTTTGTCTCATTCAATGGCAAACGAGAGTTGACAATCTTTTCCAAAGGCACCTTATTCACTGCAAATTTTGATGATATCATAACAATGATATCCGATCAAATCTCGAATATCAAGGATCCTTCAATCAGAGATTGGATCATTCCCAACTTCACGACAACGACTGATACTGATCGAGTTGTTGGAGGAATCACAATGATGGCAACTACAAAGAACTACTTTGACTACAAGGTCGTCTTCTTATGTGGTCTTCCCCAGGTTACTCTACTAGGTTCAGTTGATGATTGGACAGAGATCAGAGATCGAGATAAAAGACTGGTGGAGTTCGACACTGAGGACAAGTACTTGGAGCAGTGGGTCGAGATGTTGTTGCCAGTCTTGGACAACTTTATCATGACGGCCGAGGGCACCCCAGACATTGATTGGTGGAAGAGTATAGTAAACAAGCAAAAAGGACTTGGTTGCAATACTGAATTCTTGACAGGTTGGATTACAACTTTCATTCCTTTCTCGGAGATGGGAGAGTGGCAGGCAGAGCTAAGGTCAGTCGAAACAATGGGTGATACACGTGAGAATCCGGTCATTCATTATGATTCTCAATGGCCAATTATCTTAATAGATAATGTTCCAAGAGGTTTTGTATCATGTCCATTAAAGATCAATGATAACGGCAATGAATTCGACACAGAGATCTATGGAGGACACATCACATCAAAGTTAATCAATGACAATACAACCATCATTCCACAAATTGATTGGTGCATACTCAAAGTTAATAAACAATAAACTTATGTCATAGTAATTCATATCATAACAAGGGTAGGGTCGAGGGCAAGGGCGAGGGTTTGAATTTTTAATTTAAATTTATTTTGGAAAACAAACAAAAAGACGATTGACGAGTCCAATTCAAAGTGCATCAGAACTCGACACATACACATAAACATATACATATACTTACTTAAACAAGAAGTAGTAGTAGTAGTAGTAGTAGTAGTAGTGAATGGTATCAACAATGAATTCATCATCATCAGCAGATTCATCACAACCATCTGCTTTTCAGGTTGCCGCTGTCAAGCTCACATTGAGTTTGGCACCAGCCAACATTGGCAATATAATAGGAGGTGCAAGGTCTGCACTCGACAGACTTATCTTTCGCTACAACACCACTCTAAAGGCTACGATCATCTCCTACTCCAACCTACGTCTGGTTCAACACAACATACCAAACTTCTACGACAGTCCCTTCCTGAGCGTGCCCATCACAGTCAACATGATGGTGTTCAGGCCAATGAATGGTCAACTCATGCGTATGTTATTATGCTCACGATAACGAGGTAACACTTGAGTGACTAACATCAATCACAATCAATCAATCACGATCATTCAGATGGAGTTGTAAAGAGAGTGTCATCAACACATTTGTCGCTGTTGGTGTTTGGCGTTGTGTCTGCATCGATCAGCAAGGCAGACTTGCCAAAGGGATTGTACTATGATCACAGCTCAAACACCTTTGTTGACAAGTCTGCTGCAGATGGTGATAGCAGTAGCCTTATATCACTGGGTACCAAGATATTGTTTAGAGTTAAAGAGTATGTGTGTGGCAACATGTGTGGCGTATGACGAAGTCGCGGCAACAACTGACTAACACTCATTCAACTCGACCCAACTAGTGTATTGACGGATAAAAACTATATTACAATCAATGGACAGATGACAGACTCTGATACATACATCACTGGTCATGAGGAGATCAAGGTCGAGACACCAAAGAAGAATCAGCAACAGCAACGAGCTGATGCCAAAAAGAAGACTCCAAATAAGAACCTCTTCCAAGACTTAAAGGCTGAGAAGGTGGATGACGACGAGGAGATGGAGGAGGCAGAGGTCAAGGTGGAGAAGAAGCAGGCTGAGAAGGATGAGTCGTCAGACGACTCTGATTCAATATCATCAGATTCATTATCCTCAGATGAGTCGGATGACGAATCAGACAAGGACAAGAAGAACAAGAAAAGCAAGACGAACGATAAAGCACCAGTCAAGAAGACACCAACAAAGAAGGACGAGTCCTCAGAATCAGAATCATCAGAGTCAGAGTCAGAAGACTCTGATGACGAGGCCGCAAAGAAGAAGAAGAACAAGAAGAGCAGCAATGGAGACAGCAAAAAGAACAACAACAAGGATGACAAGAAGGACGACAAGAAGAAGACATCAACAAAGAAGAAGGCAGAGTCCTCGGAATCAGAGTCATCAGAGTCATCAGAGTCAGAGTCCGACGCCAAGAAGTCAAAGAAGAGGAAGAGCGTGGACGAGGACAAGTCGGACAAGGTCAAGAAGTCAAAGAAATAAAGACAAGATAAGACAAGGCAGTCAGGCAAGGCAGACACGCCAGACATGCCGCCAGTAATATACTATACAAAACAGGGGGTTTGTATTGAACTCCAGGTCTGGTCGCCAAGCGCGAACGGGTGGATGGATGAGTTCGTAGGGATGGATGCAATGTCGTAGAGGGCCATGGCGAACTTGGATGGATGGACGGGTATCACTCACTGTTCTATGACTCGCGAGTATAGGATAGGTAGACGCGACATTGATCATCGCCAAGGGACTGGGGGGATGGTCGTTTGATGGTCGTTGGGACGACGCCGCCATGATCTTGGGCAGCGCACGACGATTGTGGTACTCCTTACTCACCTCGGGCGAACGATGAGTTCATTGGGATACCATTGTCAAAGAGAGCCATGAACTTGTTGATGGCCTCGCTGTTCTCGGACTCGAGGATGCGCGACATTGATCTCCAGGGCCACTTGATGCTGCGCTTCTTCACCTGCTCGTTGGGCGACACTGCCTTGATCTTGGGCATGTAGAGCGCGCGCACGATGCGGGTCAGGTCGGCGTCACGCGACTTGTAGTGGGCGCCCTCCAGGAAGTCTGAGAAGAACTTGTTCAGGCTCCTGCTGAGTGTCGATGTCGAGATGTTCTTGTTGAGAGCGCACTCTGTCTGGCGCATCAGCAGATCCTGGAAGTAGATTCGATTGGTCTTGATGTTGACACTCCATCGCTGTCCCATTCCCGGCGCCGGGGTGGCCAATGCTGTCGATGTCGTTGTCGTCGTTGTTGTCGGCATTGTGCCCATCCCTTTAGGTGGATGTACCCTCACGATCGATTGTTCGTTGAGATCGCGATGACTGTCTCCATTGTTGTTGATGTGATGATTGTTGTTGTTGTTGTTAATGGTGTTGCTGCTTTTGTTAACGTTGATTAGATTGTGTTTGTTGGTGTTGAGGAGGAAGTTGTGGTAGCCGACTGCGCTGTTGTCTTGTACAGGTGTGGATTGTTCGTCATCTTCTTCAATTGTCAAGTTTACAGGCGCTGATGTATGTGTTGGTGTTGTTGTTGTAGTTGATGTTGTAGATGTTGTAGATGTTGTTGATATTGGTGGTGTAGTTGCTGTTGTTGTTGTAGTTGTTGTTGGTGAAGGTGATGTTGTGATGGGTGATAGAGGATATAGTGATGGTGTTGTGGAGGAGGAGGAAGAAGGTGATAATTTAGTCGTTTGTGCTGGTGTACCAATGGCTAACGGATGTTGAGCTGAGGTTGTTCGTTTGGGTCCCATCAGAAACTGCCTCTTCTTTGCCGGTGGTTGTGTAGGTTGTGGCGGTAGTGATTGAGGTTGAGTCTGAGGTTGGGGCTGATGCTGGGGCTGATGTAGGGGCTGAGGCTGGTGCTGGGGCTGGGGCTTCATCGGTGGATGAGTCTGCAGCGGCAGAGGACTCAAAGGTTGTCTATGTTGTTGTTGTGGTGAAGTAGAACTTGGACTGCCACTACTGCTACTCAGTAGATGTTGTTGCGGTTGTGGTTGTGGAGATAGTTTCGATTGTTGTTGTAACAGTTGTATGTTCATTGCTTCACCAACGACTGAGTCACCATCACTGTCCTCTGATGCTGTTATACTCTCTTCATCATCATCTTCATCAATGACACTGCTATTGATCAGCAGACCACCACCGCCACTACTACTATTGTATTCGATATTATGTTCACTAAGCCCATTGCGAGCAATACTACTGCTACTGCTACTGCTACTCTTTATGAATGTATTCGTCGTCGTTATTGAGGCCTTTGTCAACCTATCATCATCATCATCTTCATTGTCGTCGCCCTCTTCGTCAGGGTTCTTCCTCTTCAACGACATCTATCTGTCTTTTCAAAATATATATTTGTATACAAATAATATGATATTATTATATAACTTCATTAGAGTATGAACAGATTAATGAATGATTGAAGTGAAGTGAGTTGGTTAGTAACCATTCTTGGATGTGTGTGTGTGTGTGTGTGTGTGTGAAGGTCTGTGTATGTGTGTGTGTGAAGCTCTTTAGAAATGTGTTAAATGACAGATTGACAAACTGAGTTATCAACACAAACTCTCAGACTAAACTCATTTGAGTTTAAACCATGGGCATACCAGCCATATCCAGGAAGACTGAATTGATTTCTGTCAATTAAATTATTTCCAGCCAGATCTGGCTTGCTGTGTTTGCCACAGGTTGTTGTTCAAAAGTCATAATTATGGGGTTAACATCAACAACAAGCCATCCAAACAAAACTAGAAGATTTTGGCTTCTTTTTTTGATTTTTTTTAATTTTATTTATTTACAGATATTGTTTTGTTGTTCACCTCATTCTTTCACTCTCTTCAAACACTTCCACACACACTTGCACACCCACATTAAAACATACCCGAGCACCGCATCTCAGCTCAATCAAACAAACTTTGACCCAAAAAACCCTATCATACCCTCACACACACTCAGAGACAGACAAACACACTCATTCCTCTCACTCATTCACTTCACTCACTTTACTTGTATTTGTATATCTTTTTTATCACTCTTTATATAAATATCAACTCAACTCATCATCAATCATCATCAACAACTGTGTATATTGTATAATATTATAACAAACAAACAAAAGAAAGAATGACCGAGAAACAATTGGACGCAGCTTTGGACTTGATGAGAAGATTGCCACCCTCACAGATCGAGGATAACTTGGCCGGTCTCATCGATATGGTGCCAGACTTGACTGAGGATCTCTTGTCAGCAGTTGACCAGCCCCTTAAGGTCGCCTACGACTCTGTCTCCAAGAGAGACTACTTGTTGTGCGATTATAATAGAGATGGAGATTCATACAGGTATGATTCATTCATTCATTCATTCATTCAAACACAGTGATATGACAGTCATCATCTAACTGCCTTCGAACATCAAACAAACAATCAGATCACCATGGTCGAACAAGTATGACCCACCCATCAGCGACTGCGCTCTCCCATCTGCCAAGTTGAGAGAGATTGAGATTCAAGCCAACGAGGTGTTCGATATCTACCGTGAGTTGTAAGTATCACGATGATTGAATGATTGATCGATCGAATGAATGACTGACCTTTGGACGCACGATACTTAGATATTTCGAGGGAGGTGTATCCTCTGTCTACTGCTGGGATCTCGATGGAGGTTTCGCCGCTGTAGTCTTGATCAAGAAGAGTATGTTATTGGTGAGAACAACAAGTAGATGTAACAAGAGAGATGGACTAACATATGATTGAATGAACGAATGAAACAAACAAACAGCTCAAGATCAATCAAAGAAGGGTCAACCAATGAGAGGTACATGGGACTCTATTCACGTCGTTGAAGTCAAGGACATGAAGAAGAACGCTCGTTATAAATTGATCTCCACCATTATGTTATCGATCGAGACCGAGAATGATGCCACCGGAAAGGTTAACCTCTCTGGCAGTTTGACCAGACAGGAGGAGAAGGAGTTCCCCGTCAACGACGTCGACACCCACGTCACCAACATCGGTAAGATGGTCGAGGAGATGGAGTCCAAGTTGCGTCTGACACTCGAGACCATCTACTTTGGAAAGACCAAGCAGGTCGTCAACGACCTCCGTTCAGCCACCGGCTCTTCAGAGCTCGAGAAGAGAAAGAACCTCTCCAACCAGATCGGTTCTGCTCTCAGCCAACGTCAATAATTTCTCAGTCCCACCATATATATGTCAGTCAGTCAGTCCAGTTAGTTAGTTTGTTGGGTCATACTACAACTACAACAACAACAACAAAAGACTAGTAACAACAACAACACAAACATATATAACAACAATCACAACAACATTAACAACATTAACAACTTGCTACTATCCATCAATAACATTTGCACCTATTCATAGTATTTATCTCGTCCTTTTGTTCGTGTTAACATTCATTCATTGATTCATTGACCGATCGATAATGTTGATATGATCTTCGATACCCTACCCTTACCCTTACCCTTACCCTTACCCTTACCCTTACCCTTACCCTTGCCCTTGCCCTTGCCTAACCCTCACCAACAAACCCAGCTTCCACCCACTATTAATTTCGAAACTTGCCAAGTTGGTGAAGAGAGACCCATTCAAGCTCACCTTTGTTCAGATTGAATTGTTAATAAAAGAAAGATAGAGAGAGAGATATATAGAGAATAAAGATGAATGTATATAAATACGGTGCTGTTGGTAATAGTGTAAATAGTAATAGTAGTAGTAGTAGTAGCAGTAGCGGGAGCAATAGTTCAACACCTCAATCATCGACATCACAACAGCAACAACAACAACATGGTGGAATCAAGTCATCTTTGGGAATGTCTGGTTCGATAGAGAAGACACCTCTACAGATTGGCAACTACCGTTTAGATAAGACCTTGGGAATAGGTTCATTCGGCAAGGTTAAGCGTATGTCAACTTGATTGATTGATCGAGTCACATACTGTTCATTCACTCACTTCATTCAATCAATCAATCAATCAATCAGTTGCTGAACATATAAGGACTGGTGCAAAGGTTGCAATCAAGATATTGAACAAGAACAAGGTGAAGCATATGAAGATGGATGAGAAGATTAGGAGAGAGATACAGAATTTGAAGTTGTTCCGGCATCCACATATCATTAAGTTGTACGAGGTGATAGAGACACCGACAGACATATTCATGGTGATGGAGTACGTCACAGGTGGTGAACTGTTTGACTACATCGTCAAGAATGGCAAGCTGCCCGAGGAGGAGAGTCGTCGTCTCTTCCAACAAATGATATCTGGCATCGAGTACTGTCATCATCAAATGGTTGTACATCGCGATCTCAAGCCAGAGAACCTTCTCTTGGACCCAACACACAAATGGTATGATTGATTGATTGGACTGATTGATCGATTGATTGAGCGATTATCTTACTAATGTATTATATACAGTATAAAGATTGCGGACTTTGGATTATCCAATATGATGCAGGATGGAGACTTCTTAAAGACGAGCTGTGGATCACCAAACTATGCAGCACCCGAGGTTATCTCTGGCAAATTGTACGCAGGACCAGAGGTCGATGTATGGTCATGCGGTGTCATCCTCTATGCATTCCTCTGTGCAAAGTTACCATTTGACGACGATCATATCCCAACATTGTTCAAGAAGATAAGAGGTAACTTGTCCATTGATTAGACTCTCTCTTGCTGCGCCACTCACTCACACACTCTCTCCACTTACTTAAGATGGTGTATTCGTCATCCCTGACTTCATCTCACCGAGCTGTGCCGACCTTATCAAACAGATGTTGATCGTTGATCCTGTCAAGAGAATAACGATCAGTGAGATTAGACGACATCCATGGTTCCAAACGAACCTTCCAGCATACTTGTCAACTCCACAGACTCTTGTTGCAAAGAGTGTGCACCTGGATGGCGAGTTGTTGAACGAGCTGATGGCCAAGTATGAGCCGACCGGTGTCAAGCGTGATAAGATAATGGAGGAGTTGGACAAGATTAAGGATGGCGATACGAACGACTACATCGTCGCCTATCATCTACTCTACGACAACAAGAGGAACCCTTATACAGACTCGATCGAGTCGTCAACAAACAACATGCAGCCACCCACTGGCTCAATGCCATACTCATCCATGGCGCAGTCGGCCATCTGCACCCAGGACACATACCAGAGTTCGTCCTCCAGCTCATCTTCCTCATCCCCATCACTGAGAAAGTGGTACCTTGGTGCGATATCCCAGCTCTCGCCTCACGAGATCATGAGAGAGGTGTACAGATCATTGCAGATTGTTGGATTCGTAAGTATTAACCCAATGGAACATTGGACAATCCTGGAACTATTCCACTGACTCTTCCACCAATCAATCAATCAATCAAATCCTAAAGGAATGGAAGGTAACAGGACCTTATCAACTGAGGTGTAGGATAATGAATGATAGACCGATCAAGATTGTACTGCAGCTGTTCAGGGTGACGGAGAATCGATACCTGTTGGACATCAAGAAGATCGAAGGCGAGATATTTATATTCTTTGACATATGCTCCGAGTTGCTCTCTGAGCTAAACCTTTAATGAACGAAGTTTTCGGCATGCCTCCTGGGCGCCCAACGCCTCGCATGCATCGACATTGTGTACGACTCGCGCAGCATCTTGGGCTGAATGACAACCTTGGTCATGTCCATAAAGTTGCTCTCAATGAATGTGATGTCCTCGGCGGACAGCAGCTCCACCGTCTGCTCAACTTGCTGCTCGGATTCGTATCGCTTGCACGACGCCAGGTAAGTGGCGACATCCTGGTCATTCGCCGTCTTGTTCAGCTCGACCATGTAGTCGAGGAAGTCCTTGGGATGCTGGTAAGAGTGCGGGTTGAACATCTTGAACAGCTGTATCTTCTCGGCGTCCGTGTTGAGCAGTTTGATGAACACGAGGAACATCTGCTGCGACACCTCGCCCTTGATACCAAACAGATGATTGATCTTTGTGAATAGTTCCCTGAGTGTCTGGATATGTCCTTGCTTCTCCAACATTATGAAGTAGGGCGTGAAGAAGGATGTCTTCTTCTTGGAGAGCATCAGGAATGCCTTGAGCTCGTCCAGGTTGGGCGAGGGTCCCTTGAGCAGCAGGAACAGCTGCGTGGCGATGTAGTAGTTCCTGTTGTTCTTGGTGCAGTCGCCAAAGTATAGGTAGGCATCCTCATAGCGCTTGTTCTTGATGAAGATTGAGAGGTTGCACGACTCGATGTTTTGGTTCTTGGGATAGCGATCAGTCAACTTGGCCGTCAGGGCCTCGTCGATGCATTCAGTCTCCAGCGCCTTGATGCAGAAGCCATCAATAACCTCCAATGTGATCGTAAGATTGTTGTCTAGGCAGTATTCGATCATTCTCTGGGCCAGCTCCATGTTGCCGGCACGGACCACTCCACAGATCACGGCGTTGAGCAGAGAGGGCGAGTTGCGATAAATGATTGGCGACAGCATGTTTAGCATCTTGATACCATGTGCGGGATCCTTTCGTAGGACATTGACAAAGGCCGATGGGATGAAGATGAGGTCTCGGAGAATGGCCGGACAGCGGTTGTATAACTCAAAGTAGGACTGCTGCGAGAGTCGTTGTAGCAGGATCGAGAGATAAAGTATTCTGCGCATCTTGAGGTACTTCATCATGGACAGAGCGTACTTCTCCTTGCCATCCTCCTGTTGTGACGTCCTCATATTAATCATCTCGAGGTCCTCTTCCAGATGCTTGATCACCATGCTCTCATTCTCAATGTCCAACCACTTGACCAGGTTGTCGATTTGGTAGGATCGCGATGTGTTCAGAGTGTCAGAGAGATTGTAGCGATCGATCTTGTTCCTGCATATCGCTGTGAGCTCCACGCCAACATTGTATGAGTCGTACTCTTGCGACACTTCATCCTTGCGCTGGATGTCCAGGTCGAAGCAACGCGTCAGGTTGATAAAATGTGAGGTGAGATCCTTGACGATGGTGGGCGGCAACTTATCGCACTGTTCCAGGTACACGGTGAATGAGAGCAGCAGACGGTGGTCGATCGGCAGGTTCTCTCCCAGGATCAGGTGGTACCAGTACATGGCGTCGGAGAATAAGCCCAGCTTGAGCAGACTCTTGGTGACGCGAGAATACAACGAGTATTTGTGAAGTGCCGGCAGGTGCTCGAGAATCTGGTCCATGATCTTCCTGTTCATCAGGTAGTTGTACAGGAGGAGCGGGGCAGTGCGGCCACGCATCGCATCAAAGAGGTGGCCATAGAGCTCCTTCACGCCATTGCTGTCCTGTCGCGTGCTCAGGTACTCCAGCACGTCCTGGCACATTTGCAGCGAGATTGTGTAGTTGGAGGTGGTGGCCACCCTGGTGACCCACTGCTTGAGATCCTCGTAGTTGTTTTGCTTGATGGAGTAGTTGATGAAGTAGCCGTAGGTCTCGGTATTGGGCATCAGCTGGACCTGCGTCAGGTAGTCAAACACCACCGTGGCCTTCTTCAGATCCTTGGCCTCGAGGGACAGTTTGATCAGTTCGTTAATGAGTCCAATGCCCAGCATCTTGTGGTGGCTGATGATGCTGATGATCTGCTCGGCGTGCGCCTTGTTGTGCTTGTACACGCTGGAAATGAGCGTATAGAAGTGTTGCGTCTCAATGTAGCCTGGCAGCCGCGGGAAGTACTCGGCAAACATCGAGCATGCGGCGTCCCAGTGATTGTGCTTGATGAGTCCATCGAACAGCAGCATGTGGAGCATTTGATGCATGACCATCAGGTCTGTCTTGGTGGACGTCGCTGGCATCGACGTGATCTGTCTATGGAATAGGTCGCGAGCGCCTGTCAAGTCGTTTTTGCGCAGGAGCAACGACATGCGGAAGAAGACGACGAATTGGGGCACATCGTCCTTGTTGCTGTTGGTCTTTAGCACAGTGTCCACGAGGGCCTGCGCCAAGCTGACACGGCCGATGCTTGTGTAGAATGTAATCAGTGTCTGATAGGTTGTGCCATTGTACTTGAGGCCCATCTGATCGTAGGACGACACTACCACTTCAATAAAGTCGCCAGTATTATTATAGATAAAGTATGCCAAGAATGAGTTGACCATGTCCACATCCATCTTGAATCGCTTGTCCTCACGCATTGTCTTGAACATTTCCTTGACCATTATTACATACTCTGGTCGTGTAGAGTGCTCGCGATGCAAAAATTCATGAAGTCTATAGTGTCGCGTGAATGTGTGGCGTGTTTCCATGGGGTTAGCCACACTGTTTCCGTGTTTCCGTGTTTCCGTCGACACGGAAACACAGTTGCCAGTCGCGCCGGTACATTACTTTTTGTTGATAGTGACTGGATCGAATTGACATAGTACAAGATCGGAGAGGAATTGTGCGCGTATAGAATCAATGTTGAAGATTGGTGACTGATTGTACATGTCGTCCAGGCCATTCGATGTTAAAATAGATCTTATATGTCCGTCTGCATTTGTTGTTGTTGTCGTTGGTACACCCTTGTCAGTTGTATACCTGTTGTTGTTGTTGTCGACGAATGCCCTTCGAGCTTTGCCCAATGATGATTTTGCCGTGTTGGTAATCTCTGCATTATTAGCTCGTTGTTCTTTTTGTTGTAGTTGTCGTCGATGTTGTTGTTTAATAAGTTGAATATGATCCAAGTAGGTTGTGTATGACTTTGTTGATGTTGATGATGCTGTTGGGGGTCTTGTCTTTGTAGTCGTCGTCGTCGTCGTATGTGAGCCAATGTTGAATGATGATGATGATGTTGGTGGACTCGTTGTGGTCGTCGCCGTAGGTGTGCCAATGATGAATGATGTTGTTGAAGTTGATGATGATTGTCTATATCTGTATGATTGTGTTTGTGATATAAGCGATGTAATCGATCTTGACCTAAAGAAAGACGACATCCCTTATATTTATATATATATACACCTATGTATAAGTATGAATGATTGATTGATTTCAAGCGCGAATCATTAATCATTCAAAGTATCTTGTCCAGACGAGGACCAAAAATTGAAAAAGTTAACAAAACACCACTTTTCACTCTCAATCAGTCGATCTGTGTTGTTTATTTGCAAATAAAGGATGACGCCCAGGACTTGTCGATGGAGTCCAGGGACTTCCATTTGGTAGACTGCTTGTATCTCTTGGCCAAGTAGTCAAACACATTCTTTTGTCGATCGGCTTGTGCCGCTTGAATCATCTTTTGAATCTGATGCTTGCTAATTCGTGTGACACCGACTTCACAGTGATCTAAACATAGCTGAACAATGTCCAAATGTCCATTGGCAATTGCGTTGAATATACAGGTGATTGGTGTGAAGTGGACGTGTTTGGAGAGCTTCCGCATCAGCCGCAGCTTGCCATGCGCACTGGCGTAGCTACACATCTCGTCGAATGTCTCTTTGTTGGGCGAGGGAAAGTGTACGCTGACCAACTCATAGGCCTCGACCGAGCCAGTCTCGGCGATGGCCACCCATGACGAGTTGGTGATCTCGCCAAATCCATGATCCAGTATGTAGCGCAGTATCTCTGGTTGGTTGCCTTGTATTGCCGGCCAGACCTTGACGCGAACATCTGGTGCCTGGCTGTGAAGTGCGCGAACCACGTCCATGTATCCAAGATGCGCTGCCTTCTCCATGATTGATTGCTTGAGAACGGGCATGGATGGCCCGATGAACATGTGCTTGAAGAGATCGAAGCGGTCGAGTAGGAAGAGGATGGCGTTGTAGCGATGATTGATCGTGTGATCGATCGCGCTCAGTGCCAGCGCTGGTTCCTTGAGCGACATGTGATGCGCCGACTCGACACAGCCGCGCACCAGCGCATTGGTGAACGCAGGCATGAACCCATTGGTGTTTGTCCGCAGTAGCATGGTGATGAGCTCAAGGTCGCGCGCCACTGCTGCGCGCTCTAATGCCAGGTCCGACCACTGTATGTACGGCAGAACCTGTCTCACGTGACTCATGATGTCCACGCTGGCGAATCCAATCACATTGATCACGCGCTGCTGGTCCAGCATGCCAGTGACTTTGGGCAGCAGGTAATCGATCTGTGCCATGTTGCCCGACTCCACGGCGGCAAAGAACAGGCCGGTCAGGTCGGTCGGTCGCGACATGGTAATGTACTGCAGCAATGGGAGGTTGTGAATCGAAATGATGCGTCTGAATAGACTGTATGATCGCAACAGTGTGATGTCCGTGCTGGGTATGCTCATCACGACCAAGTACAGCGTGGCGAACAGTTGATGTTCGCGCGATACAATGCCCATCGTCGTAACAGTGTTGATCGCCGCGTTGAAGTCGATTTTATGGCCACCTAGGCTTGCGTCGTATACATATGTGATGACGCCAAAGTGATCCTTTGTCGTCGAATCAAACTCGGGCGTGTAGTGCTGAAGTGTGAGCAGCTCGGAGATGTACTGTTTGAGCGCTTGTCGCAGCAGGTGTTGGCCGCGCTCCTTGGCCTGCACCAAAGAGATGATCTTGCGCACGAGCCATAGGTCGCCCGTCATGAAGACACAGTGGAGGTCTTGAGGGTCCATCCACTTGCCGCCCAAGAACGTCTCGTTGAAGAATCGAATGAATGGCGCGTTCATCACTTTGTACAGGCCGTGGAAGGCCGTCGAGTCGCAGACTGGTTTCTTGTCCAACTTGTGTCGTGCCATCAAGTACTCCAACGATGCCATTCGACTGTTCTTGACGGCTGCCTGCAGCGCCTTGACGAGCAGGGGCTTGGCGGGAGGCGGTGCATTCTGGTCGATGTACGTCAGCTTGCGGACAGAGTCGCCGCCCGCCGCCGCGAGGTAGGCGCAGGGCAGTCTAACAAAGTCTGGATGTTTGTTGAAGACATAGCACATTGTCTCGTAGTCGACCCTGTTGCTACCGCACAGCAACTCGATGGCCTTTTGTGAGAACTGAACATTATAACCACGATCCAAACGATACCTAATCATTGATTGATATCCATTCTCCAGTAACCAATCAGCTTGCCACAGTTCTTCAAAGCACTTGGCAGGCTGTCCAATTGTTGCGCAATAATATTCATTATTACTTGTATTATTATTATTATTATTATTTGTTGTTGTTTTAGAATGTGATGATAATGATGATGATTGAATCTTCTTCTTTAACTCTTCTTTCTCAATGTCATCGCTATTATCATCATCATTTTGTTTATGTTGTTGTAGGTAGAATGACTTTAATGGACTGAATCTTAATGTTCTATGTACATAACTTATATGATCCAACAATTGATTACTTAATATCTTATTATTCAATATTGACTTGAATAACAGTGTTGTTGTTGTTGCTGAATGTTTATGTTTATGATTATGTTGATGTTGATGTTGATGTACATTATTATTATCCATTTTGTTAGTTATTAGTAGTAATAGTACATAGTTTATCTTATCTCTTTCTTTTGAGATTATGTCTTTGGGTTGGACTGAATGGAATTGTTGTTTCCAAACTACACTTGGACGAAATATCCAATGTTTGTGTTGGGGTCAAGGGTTGTGTTGTGATGGTCAACCCAAAGATGACTTGAAGATTGAGATCATTGTTGTGTTGAGGTCTTGAACATCATTAACATGTAATATACATTAGTATTTACAATTAACTATAATACTTGTGATATATCTGATGAGATTTATCAAGGACATTATATTGATATCATCATGATGACAAAGATATCTTGAAACTTGGGATTTCATCAAAAAAGCGATGAACTTGATGATTCAGACGATCAAACCATCCATTCATTCAGTTCATTCAATCAATCAATCAAACAGATAATAATATATTATATTATATAGAATGGGAATTGCAAAGATTTACTTGTTGGCTTACAACTCTGTTCAGTTTGCTGGATGGTCTTATATATTGGCCTTGCTAGCTATGCATGCTAATAATGCAGGTTGGACGAGTGAAGCGTTCAATGGTGTCTGGGACACTGTAGGCACTTGGGTGATCTACTTCCAATTCGCTGCAGTGCTCGAGATCCTCCACTCGCTGATCGGAATCGTCAAGACACCCGCCGCCACCACCTTTGTCCAGGTGTTCTCGCGTGTGGCCTGTGTCACCCTTGCCATCTACGTGCCACCAGTCCACAACCACTGGGTACTCACCCTTATGCTTGTAAGCTGGAGCATCACCGAGGTCGTTCGTTACGCCTTCTACGCGCTCTCCCTCATCGACGCTGTCCCATACTTCCTCGGATGGCTGAGGTATGTACATTCATCCATTCATTTGATCGCAACACATCCATCACTCAACACTAACTCATCAATCAATCATATATATAGATACACATTGTTCATTGTACTCTACCCAAGTGGAGTGTCTGGCGAGACTGGAACCATCATTGTATCTTTGCCACACGTGGAGAGCATGCGCCTCTTCTACTTTGACATGCCCAATGCGATCAACTTTGCCTTCAACACACGCTTGGTGTTGATGAGCTCGCTGATCTTCTACGTGTTTGGCCTTCCATGGCTGTACACCTACATGCTCGGACAGCGCAAGAGATTCATTCAGACTGGTGGCGTCAAGGCCCCAGCCAAACGCCCCTCATCCGCAACCCAGAAGAAGACTCAATAAACCAATGCATGCGAGCACAACAACAGACAACAGACATCAGACAACAGGCTTAAGAATGAACGGACGGACATTAGAAGTTTACTTCTTCCTGGGGACCATGCATACCTCACATGAGTTGGTAGCATCGTCGTTCATTTGTTCGCAACAGGCACACTTCCACTTGCCTGCAGGTGTAGCCTTGGACAACAGGTTGTTCTTGAACGATGTATCGGTGTCAAACACGAATCCTCCAGTCGATGGAGCAGATGTTGATGGAGTGAAGCCGCCTGTGGATAGAGTGAATCCACCTGTTGATGGAGTGAAGCCTCCTGTTGATGGAGCAGATGTTGATGGAGTGAATCCGCCAGTGGATGGCGTGAATCCACCAGATGTTGATGAAGTGAAGCCGGTGGCTGGAGGTGATGTAGTTGTGTTGTTCGATGATGCTTCGCTGCCAAACTTGATTGGACCGGAGCCAAAGGAGATGGAAGGTCCAGATGTTCCGAATGATGTGCTGGACTTGACATTGGCAAATAGTGCTGAGACAGGTGCTGCTGCTGGCTTGTTCTCATCCTCTTTCTTTGGTGCTGGTCGTGGTACCATGCAGAGAGTGCATGACTTGTCGCTTGGTCCATTCATTTGTTCGCAGCAAAGACACTTCCATTTCTCATCCGTTGATGGCTTCTCGGCCTCCTTCTTTGGTGCTGGTCGTGGCACCATGCATACACTGCATGACTTGTCGGTGTCAGCATTCATCTGTTCGCAACATGCACACTTCCACTTGCTGTCTGACTGCTGATTGGATGAAGACGTTGATGGTAGTGATGCGGTGCCTTTTGGATCGAATACAAAGCCTCCTGAGGAAGGTGCTGCAGCTGGCTTGAAACCACCAACACTGCTAGAGTTGGAGGTAGAAGTGGAAGAAGAGGAAAAGAGTGATGAACTGGAAGATGGCGTGAATCCTGTCGTAGTTGTTGGGGTGGTAGTGGAGTTGGAGGTCGATGTCGTAGGTTGCAATGAGAACACGTATCCTGAGCTGGAAGTGCCTTCCTCCTTCTTTGTGCCATTGCCATTGCTTGAACCAAGTAGTGAAGAGGTCTGGCCAAACAATCCACCAGATGACAATGATCCAAACAGTGAAGTTTTGGTCGTGGAATCACTGGCTGTAGCTGTTGTGGCTGTTGGTATGTTGAAGTCGATTTTAAAGCCTGCGAATGGATTGGCGGCTGGTGCTGGGGCACTTGCTGCAGGTGTTGTTTCTACAGGCTTTGCTACTGCGGCTGCCTCTGGTGCTGCCACTGGTGCTGCTACTGGTGCTGCTGCCACTGGTATCTCAGCAGGGCGATTTCTTGGCTTTAACTTAAATATTCTATATATGTTTGTGATCACATAAGATAGTTAGATATTGATCATTCTATCTCTGACTCTTACGCACTCCTGCTCCATCATCTGTCATTCATCCATCCTTCCACCCATCTACCTGCATCCTCCTCACTTCATCATTGATATTACTTTCTTTTAGCTAACTCTTCTGGTGTAGCTCTTTCAAACTCTCCCTGTAATATAACATGTTGTTAGTTGGATACAAGTTGAGCGTGGCACTTCTGTCAATAACCATTCTTACATTGAACTTTGGTGCTTCCTCTTCTTCTGATCCATCCTCATCGCGGTATCTATCTTTACTCAACTGGTGTGAGCTTTGTCTCTTTGATCTCTTATCAGACATTATATGTTGTATTTGTATATGTTTGTTTGTTTTAAATGAATGAAAGAACGAAGAGATGTGCAGTCGTCTTTTCACGCACGACTTCATTGTTTGAAAGTGTCGACACTTTGAGAAATGCGCGCAACTTTGAGTACGCCTATGAATTCTTCTTCCTCCTCTCTTGTCCAATGTTGTTGTTCAGCTATCCCATTATTTAGTCTTGCAGTGATAAGTGAATCCAGTGAAGGATTGAAAGGATCCATCTCTGGATATATTAAATCACATCTTCGTTGACAAAAGTATAATGATGGAGGGCATATAAAGTCGGCTCGTTTACCCATCAGATTGGTACATGCTGAATAATCACCAAAGCATGCTACATAACATAATGATATTCTTGCTTCCACTATTTCTCCATTGATTGGTTGTCCTATTATTATTATTACAAATAATATCATAAAGTAGAAGTATAAGTTATTACAAGTTGTCATAGTTTGTTAATTAGTTATTAGTATGAAAAGATGTATAATGAAGTGTTATAGAGTGGAAACAACAATGATATGATATATATTACATTTGTATGTAACATTAATTATGTGTATGATGAGTGATTGATCTTCCAAATCGGGTAAACGAATTATCTTTCACACACTCACATACACTAGAAAGTGAATGTCGTTTTGTTACAAACAATGATGTACCATTCACTTATCAGCCCTTCATAGACATAAAGATACTACATATACAAACATGTTGACACGCACAGCATGTCTGTGCTCATCTGCTGCGGCCAGACGAGCAAGTCTTGGCGCTGCACTACGATTGATGAGCATTGCTCATCCATCACTTTCACTCTCACATTCATACTCATCATCATCATCTAATAATAATAATGACAACAAGTCTAGTCCACCATTCAAATCCACATCATCATCATCCACATTATCTTCCACATCATCATCATCATCAGATAGCAGGCAACCGAAACCTCGACAAACCAATGATACAATAAGGAACATCATCCAGGCAATCCAAACAGACATGGAGAAGAGTATAAGCCTGTAATGTATGTGCCAAGCGTACACCACAAGAACAGGAGATGGCTAATACCAACAACATCCAACAACAACAACAACAACAGGATAACATCATTCATTGACTATTCAATATCAAAGAACCATGCCATTGGCAATCAATTGAACATGTTTGCAAAGTTAGCTCATGAGAATCGAGCCAACTCTAACTACCCAAAATGCATAAGCGTGATCGTTAGAGGCTTCTGCGAGACGGGACAGGCCGAGCAAGCTGTGCCCCACCTCTCAGCCAAGACCTCGGCTAACGTCTATGATACAGTGTTCGGGGCAATGATCAGTCAGATCAAGAAGCGACAGAAACAACAGCAATCAGAGAACAACAACACCAAGCAACTAGTGTTGGACAAGAATGATCCCACTGTCATAGGCATCGAGAACATGATAAAGATGCTGTCAATCATTGATCTTGGATCGACATCGGTCGACGCCTATGTGATTTCCGCGCACCTGCTCTTTGGGCGGGAGGCCCAAGCGCTAAAGGTGTTCCAGGCGACGGCCACCAAGCCAAAGCAGCTCGTCTATTACAATCCGTTGCTGAACTTCCTCAACTACTATGTCAGCCGCGGGCGCCACGTCGAGTCGATCACATTCTTCAGCGAGAATATCAAACATTACATTGGCTTCCTCGAGTCGCGCCACTTTCTCACCTACCTGATGGACATCAGGCGCGCAGGTCTCAATGAGGACTATCTGCTGGACAAGTTGCGCGAGGACGGCCTGTTGCCGTCGGCCGAGCACCCTCGCGCCACCATCAACCTCGCTGTCTACATGCTCGAGACGGGCCGCCACGTTGAAGCACGCAAGCTTTACAACCGATACTTGACACAGGGTGGCAAGCCCGAGCAATGGATGCACTTCCAGTTCATGCGCGAAGCAGTCCTGCGCGGGGACTTTGAGACGGCCATGTCGTGGCTGGTCAATGCGCGCTTCCACAACTTTGTACCCAGCTTCGCCACGACCCAAAGCCTCGTGGCCATCTTGTTGGACAAGCAGCAGGACGATCTAATCAAAGAGTTCACCGACATGGTGACGTCAGCGGGTCCCAAACACGGCCTGCTGCCCAAGCTCATTGTGTTTAATGAGTTCTCGACGAACCCGGCACGACGTGAGTTTGCCCAGACTCTGATCGCGCGGCTCAAGCAGGTCGACGTGCTTGATCAGACAGCATTCACCAACCAGATCATCCGATGCTACCTGCAGCTGGACCAGTACGAGCGTGCCCTGCTCTGGCACGGCCGCCGCATCACCGAGCTCAACCTGCCCATCGACACGTACAACGTCTACAACTTTATGGTCTACCACAAGCGCCACCAAGACCATGCGCTCGAGGAGTACTGGAACAAGATACGCACGTCAATGAACATCGATCGCTCCTACGAGGACAAAGCCAAAGCGGACTACGACGTGTTCTCCTTCCTGATCGACCTGGACGCACTCGCGAACCTAGGCTCCCGCAGCGAGCTGGAGAGCCTGATCAAGAAGCCGAGCAGCCAGTCGATTGGCGTCGTGCCATTCGTCGACGTGAGCAAGTTCGAGGGCCGTCGCGTAGCCACACCGCTTGAGACAAAGCTGTTGGACGCCATCGCCCGCAAAGATTACGGCGCGGCGATGTCCGCGCTCACACTGCAGTTCGCGGTCAGCTCCACGGACATGGAGCGACAGATCCCGATTGGAACCTCGCTGTTGCAGGCGGCCACACTCCTGCAGGCGATGGACGACAAGAAGTTCCTGGCATTCTTGGAGGACGCCAGCAAGGTACCAGTCGCAATCAAACAGCTATTGTTCAACCCGGCGTACCATGCCAACCAGCTGCGTACCAACCTTGAGAACGAGCTCAGACTGCTGGCAACATACCCGCAATCAATGTACATCCACTCGACCACAATATGGAACAGCATTTTCATTGGACTGATCTTGATCAGGAATGCCCACTCGATCGAACTTGCCAACAAGGTTTACGACCACATGATCGCGCGTGGTATGTCCACCCAGCAGACTGCATTCGACGCCTATGCCGACCTGTATTGCCAGCGCACGACTACATTGCCCGGCCCAACGGCCGAGATGGAGCAGCACATGTGCAAGTTCGCCCAACAGAATGCCATCCTATGGACCAAGTGCAACAACTTTATAGTCGAATACTTGTTGCGCCACAATCGCACGGACGAAGCTTTGGCCGCATGGAACAACATGGTGGGCAAGGAAAAGCTGCGTCCGGACTTCTACACTGCGCAGGTCGGTCTGCGGCTGGCGCTGGCCATCCATCCAGGCGGCCTGCCATCCGATGTCACTAGCTCCAAGGAATGGGAGGGCATACTGCGCGGCGTGACAGCTGGCGACGCCGCCCACTTCCACGGCTGTCTGATCGCGCACCTCGCCAGCACCAAGGCCGACACCCGTACCCTGGAGCGTCTGATCCGCCGCGGACACCCCGGCAAGCACGGCACCGAGCTGAATAACGTGACGATGGTGATGCGCGAGCTGTACCAGCATCCAAGTCTTCTGGTCGCCTACTTTGAGGACTATGCGGCCACGTGTCACCGACCGCTCACACATCTCGAAGCGTACGCGCACCATCTAGTCGGCGAGGCCAACCTCCAAGTCAAGTCGGAGCATACCTCCAAGCTTCTCCAATCAATCAAGACCGTACCAAACATCACTCGCAAGTATCCAGACGTCACATCCTACACCGATCAAGCAATCGACAATATGATACAAGCGCACAATCAATTCCAAAGCAACCCAAACACAACAACAACAAAGTCATCTTCATCATCACCTGGCGACTCTTCATCCAGTTCTTCCGGAAAGCCCAGTTTAGACCAAGCTTAGACTATGTTCCAACATCCATCCAACCATCCTACCGTCAATCCAGCAAGTTCAACCTGGCCATTCATTCAATCATTGCCATTGGCTGGTCAGCTCGCCAGGCATCACTCAACCACGCACATACTCTCATCCACACATACCATCAACCAACTGATTGAGATAGTGTGAGTGAGTGTGATGTCAATGCCTGGGATGTGGGAAAGTGGAACGAACTCTCTTTTCAAAATGAAATCTTTGTTTGTGTGACACAAGAATACCTGGTTGTCTCACTGACACACACAGAGTCGCATTAGTGACCTGGTTATCACTCCACACACTCGTTTTCTATTTTCTTTTTTTTTGTTTTATTTTTATAACATTGTGAATGAGTGAGTTGGTGAGACCAGTTTTTATCAATTTTTTTAGAGTGCACACATAACCAGAGATTCATTATTCTTGACACTCTTCTTCCATCCCTCTCCCTTCCCACTCACTAACACACTCACTCACTGCAACTTGAACGTTCCAACCTCTGCAGAACTTATTACTCTATATATCTATCTATTATTTATATAAAACATATACATTAATATACATATTATATATATACTAGGAACATAAAGATGAAGTTGATTACATTGTTCTTGGTTGCCTCCGTGCTGTGCGGACTCACTCTGGCATCCCTCAACATCCCAATCATTGGATGGTCCTCCCAAAAGTATGATCGATCATTCAATCATTCATTCATTCAATCAATCAAACATCAGCAGCAACAGGGGAACAATAATATCATCATTAATTGGATCATCATCAGTGTCATTATTTGGCACGATCAATCAAACAATCAATGACACTATGAACGCGACTTGACGACTTGATGAATGAATGAATGAATATGACACAAATACTTGGACCAACAACTAACAAACAAACAATCAATCAATCAAACAAATAATAGTGCCTTTATAAAGTCAGAGATCTTTGATACATACTCTTCTGAACAGTTCAGAGAGATGCTGTCCAACTTGGTCAGCGGACAGTCTAGCGATATCGTCAATTCAATCAAGCCAGAGCTGATCACCATCTTTGTCGAGCAACAGCTGCGCACTGATGAGTTGTCCAGCCTGTTTGACAGCTACAGCAACCAGCCAGCAAGCAAGGTTGCATCACTCAAGAGCAACATCGAGGCTGCTCGCACATCGATCTTCATCCCATACGTCAGCACCTCTGGCTCATTCCTCTCATCAGTCCTTTCGACAATCTCTATCGATGGCACCATCTACGTCGCCACCGAGTCCAACTCTGACTTCCATGTTAACGGTGCATCATACATCCGTTTGAACCAGATCAAGGCTGTATGTATACAAAGTGTGATTACTGTGGCGTGGCGTGGCAGGCGGGAGAGTGACGCGCCATCGTTGATTGATCACATGACTAACTTCCATCACCTCACTCACTCAATCATTCATTCATTCATTAGACTGCCTCCTCATCAATCTCCAACAACAAGGTCGACATTCTTGTTGTTGTTCTCCCAGAGGACAACCAAAGTACGTGTATGGATGATTGATTGATCGATTGGATACCGAGTGTTTCCATCTCGCGCGAACATCAAGCTAACACATCCACCTCACTTCCAAACAAAACAGACCAATACTTTGAGCAGATCAACAGCGTTGAGGGCAACTCTGTCAACTTCTTCACCGCTGAGAACCCAACTCCACTGGGCTTCACGATGAAGTTTGAGCAGGAGAAGCAGGCAGTCTACGACGCTGCCGTGTTGGCCGACTCCAACAGCACCACCAACGGCACCAACTCCACTAGCGACTACATCAACTACTTCCCAGGTCCAGTGTTGGAGGCCTACCTCATTGTATTCATCTTGCTGGTCATTCTCTTTGCCGGCATCTGTTGTATTGCCGACCTGCAAGTGCCCGACAAGTACGAGGCTCCCAAGCAGAAGGTCCTCTAAAGAGGAGGTGTCATTGAAGCGTTCGTCTATCTAATTTGTTGTTGTTCTGTCGTCCGTCCGTCCCCTGGGATGGGGCGCGGGCAAGGGCGCGGGCAACAACATAAACGCCTCTACACCGGCGCGCCACAGTTTGCTTTGATCGGCCAACTACAGCGCTCGCCTAGTTAATTAAACATAACCACTGAACACTTACTACCAACTCCCAAGCCAAACAATAAACCCTCGCTCTATCTCTTTATACTAATACTACGACGACGACGACTACTACTTGTACAACGTGGCGGCAGAGTGGCCTGCCAATCGTTTAATGATGAAGAGGGAGCAGCTATATATAACAGTCGGTGCGCAGAGAGAGAGCTCGCTCTCACGTCTACACGTTGCCCGGGCCAGCGGACGGCGACGACGACGAATCCTCGTCGGTGGTGGTGGTGCCAGTGGACGTGTCGATGTCGATTGAGGGCATAGGCGGCGACAGCTCACCCATGGGGATGTCGGCACCGACCTTAATGTTGTCGTTGGCGCAGTCGCCGTCCTCTTCGCCAGAGAACATGCCATTGTTGTTTCCAGAGTTCTTGGCGGCGCCGCGGCTCGAGCTGTATGGCGACGGGTTGTTGTTGTTCTTGTTCTTCTCCAGCACCTGCGCAGTCTCCAGACAGAAGCCAAACACAGTGAACACCTTCAACACCTTGGCACCGATGTAACGCCACAGCAGAGGGTTGTTGTAGACAAACACCACACTGGCGTAGAAGCCGTGCGACACACTGAAGTAGGTGTGCAGCAGGTTGATGGCGTAGGGGTAGCTGCCCAACGAGTTGAGGATACGGTTGATGACGGCAAAGATCCAACAGATGAGGAACACAAAGATGTAGTTAACCAACTTGAACTGGTAAGACATATGCTTGTCCTTGTTCTCCGAGACACCCTTGTGGATCACTTGGTAGGTGTAGTGACAGGTCATGCCGACCAGTATAGCTGCCAACAAGAAGATCAAGAGGAATGGTCCGTAGAAGAGTCCGAATCTGTAGCCTGTGTACTCTGTGCCAATCCAGCACCAACTTCCTACAAACTCCACAGTGTTCTCAGCCAACATTGTGACCGTACTGATTATGGGTAGTCCCCAACAAGCAAAGAAGTAGTACTTCTCCAATTTCTCTATCTCTTGATATCTTTTCACAATCAACAAATAGATGCTAATAGCTAAAGTTTAGAAGTATTGTATTAGTGTGTTTCCGTGTTTCGGTAAATCCGGGGGAGTTTCCCTGTTTCCTTGTTTCCAAACATACCTAGACATAGAGTCCAAAGCCAACAACTTAGACTACCATAGGTAATGACGATTGCGTAGAGATAACATGAGAATGAGTTTGTTTCGGATGCTTTGGTAAGTGTCAGGATGAATGCAATGAGGTCTTTGATGAATGATGTGATGCAGAAACAAGAGATAACTCTTGTGACATGGTTTCGAAGTAGTTTCAGCCTCCAAAAGGCTACCAATACACTGAATGCTCCAATAATCGATGTAACGTCAGCAAAGAGCAATACAACTTCCAACACAATATCCTCTGTGTCTGTTGTCATGATTGATTGATTGAGTGATATAGTTGGTTGATTGATTTAGTTGAAATTGGATAGATATTCGAGGGAATATTGGTTGGTCCTTCCAATAACTAACTAAATATTTTTGGTAGAATAACTGGATGGACTAATTGATAATAGGTATGGTTTGGAAATTGATGCCAAGGATAGAGGTTGGTTGACGGTACAGTGATCAGAAACAATCAAATGGTGCAAATTGCACCACATTGGTGCAACAGTTACAGCAACAACAAGAAGGAGCAACAAGTTGCCACAGCATCTCAATGATGGATGGAAGGAAGGATGGATATACCAATAGATACCCTTTACCATTCTCTCACTCTCTCACTCTATCACTCACTCACTTACTCTCAACCTTCCTTCGTATCATTATAATTATATGTATGTATGATTGAATGTATTTATCTTCATCTTCATCGCTCACAGGCGAGGCAACCACCTCCTCACCGGCCATATTGCCAACTCGCCATTGGCACCACAGTGTGATCAGACAGAGACACAGTACCAATACTTAAAATAAGGTAGGTACGGTAAGGTAAGTTATGTTAGGGTTAGTGGTCATGTGATAAATGACCCACCCATAGTTGAGTAGGTGTTAGTGAGTGGGAGTGATCAGTCGGGTTAGGTGATTGATTGAGTGAGTGAGTGATGGTCCACACACACACAAACACAAAGATTATCTCTGGTATTGATTCGAATGAATAAGAATGGCACATGGTAGGTAGGTATATTCAAGACCTCAATACTATACCTACACACACATATACAGGGTATATATCTCTTTGATTCATTAATTGTATGATATTTGAAATCCATTTTATTGTCCAGATGGCAGGTTCATCGCAGGTGATATCTTGAGATAGAGTATGGTCGAGTTACTCGACCAAACCCATCAACCTCACCCTCATTCCACACCTCATTGGTCGCACTGGATCACATTTGCGCATTCTTGTTATCAACAACTATCAACACTACACAATACATGTCTTATCAATACTATTAATAGGACATCCATCCATCCATCCATCCACTGTATTTGTTCATTGCCAATGAATGAGTGGGATGCTGGAAGTGCACATAACAATGTTAATTGATCATTGGTCATTAATTGACTGATTGAGTGAATGAGTGAGTGAATGGGAGTTGCGTGAGATGCGTAAATGTGTCCAAGAATACAATGGATCGAGATTGGTTATGTTCAGGAAACGTAGTACGTCTGATTATTAGAACAACTATTCTGTTGAACTGACCTACCCTCAACCCTCAACCCTCGATCCAACCCTCAACCCTCGATCAAATACTCGATCAAACATTCACATAACTTATCTTATCTTATTTAATTATTTACTTTGTCTTCTTGCTGTTGATTGGCTGTCTGACATAGTCTGGGTCATTGCCCATACGGTAGAGGTAGTTGATATGTGACTTGATGGCCTCGGTGAAGTTGGCCTTAAAGTGGTACTTGACGCCAAACTCTTGGCACACCTCCTTGAGGATGGGCACCAACTGTGGATAGTAGTCCTGCGAGATTGATGGCAGCAAATGGTGAACGACTTGATGGTTGAGTCCTCCCGACAGGAAGTTGCAGGCGATCGAGCCGTGGCCATAGTCCTGGGTGGTCTTCATCTGGGAGATGGCCCAGTCCTCCTCGAACTGGCTTGGCTCCTCGGGCTTGTCTGGGGTGGCGTAGAAAGTCAGGTCGTCGGCAATGTGCGACACCTGGAAGTTGATGGTCAGGTACCAGCCGTGCATCAGTTCGGCCAACACAAAGAAGACGGCCAGATCGGCGACCGAGTGGTACTGCAGGGGCAGGATGAAACGGAAAATGATGAACGAAGCCTTGCCGACCAGATAGGAGGTCGTGTCAAAGGTGGTTGGTGGGCCGACGCGAATGGGGCCGTTGAAGTGTCTGATGAAAGCCTCGACGTCCTGCAGACGGGTCTTCATTGTGTACAGTCCGTAGAGGATTGGCGCGTAGATGTGCTGGTACTTGTGGTACCACTCGCGGCGCTGGTATGGTGTGACAACACGGAAGTCGACCTCGCCCTCGCCGACATCGGGGTCAGCGCCACGGACGTTAGTGTAGAGGTGGTGGCCAATGACGTGCTGGTGATTCCAGGCAAAGAAGGAGGCACCGGTCACAAAGTTGAAGAAGGCGCCCAAGGCCTTCCAGACGAGTGGGTTGTGCGAGACGGCAGCGTGACTGGCGTCGTGCATCATGTGCATGGCGAGCCAAGCCTGCGACACGCCAAACATGAGGGCGAGCAGACAGTTGAGGGCAAAGTTGGAGGTGAGGTAGTGGGCCATCAGGTAGACGACAATGTCGAGCAGCACGACAAAGGACAGACGTGTCACCATCGACACGGACATCTGTGGGTCCTGCTGCGTGGCCTTGAAGTGTGCGCGCACGCGCTCCCTCAGCGACGAGTAGAACTTGCTCTTTGCAACGTACTTGGGGTGCTCCATCGAGGACAACACTCCCACCTGGTATTTGCCAATTATCGCTTGTGGCTTATCAGACATTGGGTGATAGCTCTCAAACAAGTTGGTAACATCACGTCCAGCAGACAACAACAATATCTCCTTTCCACCTGGATGTTCTGGTACCCATCTATTCATTCATTCCAATTGATTGATTTGATTGATTGATTGAGTGAGTGAGTTGATGTTGAATGATTGAATGATCACGTGTTTTCAACATACTTGGTTATATCGTATATCTTTCCGTCGATGGCTACCCAGCAGTCATCTTCAGTGTTATGTTTGGCCAACTCGGACCAAGAGTACTGCTTACCAGACATGTGTATATGTTATAAATATAGATATAAATATGATTGATTGATTGAATGAATGAATGAATGGATGTGGATGGTGTAAAATGAACTTTGATTGATGTTGCTAACAACAGTAGCTGCAAGCGTACTCCCTCTTACTCACTCTCACTCAAACAACAAGCAAGAAACACGGTTGGGAGTGAAGAATCCCAACTCGTCATACGTTGGTGTTGACTTTAGTGAGTGCTGTTGAGTGAGCCCCTAACGCAAAAAGGTTGTTGAAGGTGCTAGACGCGACCTCTAACTCGTTTTGTTGAGCCAAACTCTCCAGCACCAACACTTTCCTTTTTCAAAAGTCGATGGAAAATTACAAGTGATGGGGTACTCGGATCAGTTGCGCATAACCTTGATTCATTCGTTTTACAAATATCCAATGACAGTTAGAGTAGGGAAGGGAGTAGTCGCGTGAAACGAGGGGAGAGACAAAGAGAACGCGAAGAGATGTGTGTCTCGAGATGGACCACAGGCTGGATCGAAGGGTCCGTTCGGCAACTGGGTTGGATTCCGTGTGGTCCAAACATGGACGAATGAATGGAAAGATTGATTGATTGAGTGAGCCTATGCTCTGGACTCGGGTCAATTCACACTACTCTCTTTTTGAACTTGGCAATGAAGAATCCAATGGTGGACAAAGAGTCGGATGGATCAACTCGCTGCACTAGAGAGCATTGTTCGGACGTCAGACCGCAGTTGGACAGGCCGCCACTGCCAAGGTGTGGATACTGTGGCAGTAGCTCCATTTGAGGATGTCGAGATAGTAGATAGGCGACATTACATTCGTTCTCCTCTGGATTGATGGTGCAGGTCGAGTACACCAGTACGCCGCCAGGCTTGAGCAGCGGCACTGCATTGTCAATCAGTCGACGTTGGATGTCGACCGCGTTCTTTAGGTCGAGCAATGTGTTGAGCTCGATGAACCTTGGTCGCGAGCCGAGGCCTGAGCAAGGCCCGTCCAGCAGCACTCTGTCGAACGACTCGTTGGCAAAGGCAGGGTCGCGTGGCTCCTTTATCAGCTTGGCCGAGTCCATCAGACGACTCTGCACATTGGTGATGCCCAACTGCTGGCACAACTGATGTATGATTATCTGCTTCTTCTTGTTCTTGTCCAATGCCAACACCGTGCCCTTGTTGCCCATCAACGTGGCGATCAGTGTTGTCTTGCCACCGGGTGCGGCGCACATGTCCAGCACTCGCATGTTCTGCTCGGGCACCTGTGGCAGGTCAAGTTGGAACACTGTCAGTACGGAGGGCAGATGCTGGAGGTATAGGCGATCGGGAAGCAGTGCGTTCAGTGGCGGACACAGGTATATACGCTCAGTCATCTCTATCGCCACTCCATTCGGAATGTTAAAATAGTCTGCTCTATCCATCAATGATACACCATTGCCAATATACACTGTTCTCTCCCTATAGCAGTCATCCACGATGAATCCATGTTTGCCATTGCCATCCAAGTCTACAAACACTGACACCTTCTCGCCCTTGGATACTGGAAGTTGCGTGGGGCGCAGGCGAGATGGTTAGTTATGAGCGATCAATCAATCAAACATTTGAATGAGTATGAATACATACTGTACTTGTGTGATCCAATTACACCTGGCTAGAGTGTAGTCAAAGGGGTTAGCCATACGAATGGACATTGACTCATGCTTGCGCGACACCTAGTACATACCGCGAATATATTACTTCCTCTTAGTACTGACTCACCGCATGTCGCACCTACAACTACCTCTATGATGTTCAACATGTTCGAGCGCGTTAGTATGTGCCTCGACTGTTTGACTCGCAGTGACATACGCTTGTACTTTGGGTCTCGTTTGAATGGTCCTCTGTTCTGGAGTAGTATGACCTCGTTTGCTATCCTGTCTAATTGTTCCTTGTGTTGTAGATCGTTGTTGTAGTGCTTGTCATTGGGTCCAGGTAGTGATTGAAATGGTACAATATCACTTGGCTCTAAGGTGTATTCAGCTTGAGATGATGCTGAACCAAAGTGTTGTGATAGATCATTGATCAACTGCTCTCTTGTAGTCTTTATAGTGTTCACTCGTACACATGTAAGTGATTGAGTTGTAGTCTGTGCTCGTTGTATCCTATCAAGATGCTCTGCGCCATAGTAGCCCAACAAGTGATCGTGAACATCTTGATGCTTATACACCAGCTTGTTCAATGTGCCGTCTGACGCCAGCATGGCGTTCATAGCAGGTGGCAGATCACTCATTACTTCATTATCTGTTTGTGGACGGGTCAAGGTTATTCATTGATGATTTGAACGAGAAATGACAAAGGGGCAACCCTTACCCTCGCCCTAACCCTAACTCTCGCCCTCACCCTTGCCCTCGACCCTCTTGGAAGTCTGTGGATATGTATATGGCTTGGTTTATTGATTGATCACCTCATTGATGAAGCTTTGAATAAGGACACTGCTCGTTGAAGGCTGACCAAATGCTTGATTGCGATGATTGTAGAGCCTGGTCGACTCTGCAGCCGGATCCTGATCCAGCTTCAGGTCATCGAGGCTTATTATGGCCTCTTGAACAATCGCCGATAAAGTAAATCCATCAGCATTGTCCATTGGCGTGAAGCCACAGAAATCATCCAGTTTGATGTCGCCGCGAGTTGTACATTGCATCTTGGAGAGCAACAGATGTTCGTCGGTGATGCCCTTTGCAGACAACAAGTGATATGTCCTCAGGTTGTAGGAGGTGACGGGGCCTTGTCCCCTGCTGCTCCAGTAGTCCAGCCATACGCTCATGAGCCTCTCGGAGGGGCGCTGATTGTACTCGATCTGAAGGAACTGGCACAGAGTGCTGAATATTGACGATATGAGCTGCTTGGTGGGTATCTGCGCCATCTCAGTGTTCTTGAGCGAGTAGTAGAAGAACTGGATGCCGAGCAGGAGCACTCCATAGTCGTTGCATCCACGCTTCAACTTCAAGTTATTGAGTATGCTCTTGCACTTTGTGAGGTCGATTAATGGGGAGGTAGCAATCATTCGGTAAAGTTCCAGACATGTGATCGATTCTTTGTTCTTGTTTGATTGGTTGTGATTGGTCGTGATGTGTTCGAGCGTCTTTCTGCCGAGTCTGTTGATTGAGTGACTGTTGAAGATGAAGTCCGAGAGAGGCCCCATCAATGCTCGGTCGATTGGCACGTTGTCCCAGGCCATCGCATTGACCTGAGCCATCACAACGTCAGTGGGCGCATTCTTGTCCGCCAACAGAGTTGCCAAGATGTGATTGCCAAATGACTTCATGTAGCGCACGACGTTGTATATTGGCTTGACGGCGTCCAGTAGCGAGGAGATATCCATTGTTGCCAACATATGATCGAGTTGGGCCTGATCGATAAGCATAACGCGCCACTGTATTGGCATTAGACCAAAGAGATCAAAGTGGACGGTGGTCGGCTTGGGACGACGGCCGGCCGTGGTGTCCCCACGCATGGCCAGGAGAGCACGCAGCAACAGCGTGGACTTGGGAAGCACGTCCATGTTTCGGCGCAGATGGATAGAAATGCCCTCGACATCGTTGCTCCTGCAGATGTGATCCAGGATGATCTCGCGCTCTGTGCGGATGCGGGGTGTGGTCGACCTGATGCCACAGTCAATGAGTGCGACTTCCGACCACAACTCGTCCAAGGATGATGTTGACTCTTGCGCTGCCTGGCTGTGATGCTTGCCGCGCCAGAATTGAATGAGTGCCTCGCGGACTTTAGTATCCTCCAAGGAGGACTCGTGATACCTGATGAAGCTCATGTTGGTCTGGAGCGTGGGCTGCAGGTTGAGGTCGATCTGGCGACGAGCATACCAGGTCAGCGCCATCTCGTATTGGTCCAGCTGGAGATACTTGATGATCAGCATGTTGGTGATGACGTCCTGTTGAGCAAGCGTGCGACTCTTGACACCACTACACAGCAGCTGTTGGAAGTTTGGCACATTGTTCGCTTCGCAATGGATGATGAATGATACCAATGTAGCTGGTGTCAAGTGATGCGTCAACGTCAATAATGCGCCCAAGTCAGATCTTTCAAACTCCACCCTGTCTCCAACAACAGCATCATTGTTTCCAGCAGTATTCCAATCGATTCTCCTGTATGATTCCACCTTCTCTTGGTCTCCAAGTACATTCTCGCGACTCGACTTCAAGTTCATTGTTGATGTAGTTGACTCGGTTGTCGATGGGTGTGTGTCCAGGGTCTGTTGTGGCGAGGGCGACTGTGATTGAGTCTGAGTTTGATTGATCGAACCATCTGATTTCTTGTTCTTTCGTGCTTCCATTGGTGATGGTGATTGGACCACCTCCTTCTCCACTGCTACTTCATGCTCAGCATTCTTGTCCTCTTGTTGTTGTTGCATTCCAGCCTCACTCCTCTTTATCAATATATCTTGTTGATAACGATAATAGATGAACTTTGCTATCACTTTACTCTTGTCATCCTCGTCAAACTCATTCTCATAATGTCTCCTCTCACATATATCCAACAACTGTCTAGTCGTGAATGCACTCAAACTCTTTACACTATTTAACAGTGTATCATCTTCATCCTGGTCAGCCTTCTTCTCTTTCTTTATCTTGTGTGTCTCTGTCTTTGTCTCTATCTGTGATGGTGATGGCTGTGTTTGTTGTTGTTGTTGTTGTTGTTGTTGTTGT